TCACACAGAGAAGCAGCCCCATGGGCTGTTCCTGAGTGTCACCCACAACTTCCTAAGCTGGGCTGACATCCTCACTTCAGACACGACAAGTTGGGACTCACAGAGCCGACTCCCGGCCTCCCAGCAGGGGGGGGTCCCAAGCTTGCTGACCGCCTCTCTGGCTCGGCAAGCAGGGGCCGCCTCTTGTTTGTGGATGTGTGCCACACTCTGTGCTCTGCCTGTGGGCGTGGGAAGGAATCCTGACACGGGCCTCCCGTGACTCCCAGGAGCCAGACAGGTAAGGTGTGGCTACCATCCCCATTTTAGAGATGAGGCAACAGAGGCCCAGACACATGATGTAAGTTGCCTAGGGCTGCACAGCAGGGAGGTGGAGTCAGACACTGACCAGGGTGTTGGCGTCCAGGGGAGAAAGGTCTGATCCCTTTGAGGACAAGGACAAAGATGGCGGTCCCGCGGGTGCAGGGAATGTGGGGTGGGGGTGTATTGGGACGCCAGGGTGGGAAGGGGGTTAAGGAGCGCTGAGCAAAGACCTCCAGGTGGGGAGACTGCGGGGTATGTTCTAAAAACAAGGGGAGGGACGCCTGGATGGTTCAGTGGGTTAAGCCACTGCCTTCGGCTCAGGCCATGATCCCAGTGTCCTGGGATCAAGTCCCGCATCGGGCTTCTTGCTCCACAGGGAGCCTGCTTCTCTCTCCGCCTCTGCCTGCCTCTCTGCCTTCTGTGCATGTACTCTTTCTCTGACAAGTAAATAAATAAATAAATAAATAAAATCTTAAAAAAAAACAAAAACAAAACCAACCAACCAAACAAACAAACAAAAAAAAAACCCAAGGGGAGCTGGCATGTCTGGTGGGCAGAGACCAAGCCGGCATTTGTGTGGACGGAAGCTGAAATAGTTCTAGGGCCTCTCTCTCAGAAAAATAATCTTCTAAATCCTTCTTTTGCATATTTTACAAAACCATTGAACACACGGATGGCCTGACCCCAGGGTGCTCATGGGGGAGGCAGTGGGAACCCCTTTTGCCCCCCGCAGCGTGGGCAGCAGGCCTGCCTGGAGAAGAGGGGGCAGAGCATCTCACAGACCAAGAAGGGGAGCTGCTTCTCAGTTGGGCTCCTTCCCCGGACCCCTCTTTGGTCTTCTCAAGGGTGCCTGGGGTCAGGATCCCAGGCTGCATGGCCTCCGACCACCGAGAGGCCTCCCCAGCCCCCAGGCCTCCCCCTCCATCTGCCGGGTCCCTGTGCCGGTCGCAAGGAGCGGTTTGTCAGGGTCAGCCGGTGTGGGCCGTGGAGGAGGACACGCGGTGAAGGGTGGGGGCAGCGTCCTCTCCTCCTGCCATGTTAGGTGGCCACAGAGTGAGCACAAAGGCTCTTCTCTGAGCACAGCCCGTTGATGACTGAGGTGGTGTGTGTGTGTGCATGGGTGGGAGGACACATTCTGCACTTGGGTCTATGAACCACCTGGAGAACTAGCAGTGGAGACTGGATGGTGGTTGTGGAAGGGGCTCCCCCAGTCAGCTGGAGCCTGCCCACGGACAGGACGGGTGGCTCCCCTGGCTTCCCGGGCAGGGAGTGGGACGAGCCTGGTCAGAGGTGGCCGAGGAGGCAAAGGGGCCGACCTGCAGCTCACAGAGGGGCAGGGCTGTGGCGGGAGGGGCGGCGTGGGGCAGAATAAGGTCCCTACATGATGTCTCTGTCCTGATCCCCAGAGCCTGGGCATGTTGGGTTATATGGTGAAGAGGAAGGGAAGGTGCCCGTCAGCTGGCTTTAGCATGGAGATAGATGGTCCCTGATTATCCACACTGGTTCAGGGTAACCCTGAGGCCCCTAACTCGGAAGAGGAGAGAGAGAGATGTGAGGACGTCACTCGCCTTCACTGGCTGGAGGGGACGATGGAGAAACGGCACCAGCCAAGGTGCGGGCAGCCTCTAGAAGCTGCAGAGGGAAAGGAAATGGACCCCCCCTCCCCGCCCCCAGACCCTCCAGAAGGAATGAGGCCCTGCCAGCACCTTGACCTTCGCACAATGAGACAGTTCAGACTTCTGGCCTATAGAACTGTGAGGTATGGAATGTGTGTGGTTTTAAGCCATTAAGGCTGTGCCCATCTTTTTGGGCAGCCACAGGTAGTGAGGGCTGATGGCACATGGATGAGAGGAAGGGGTTCCAGGTCAGCCAGGCTTCGGGGTGTTGGCACTTCCTTACCCACCAGAGTGGGGGTGTCCATGCCGTCAGCAGGCCCTGACCTTTCAGGGGATCCTGTCAGCCCCGCCAGCTTCCAGACACAGGAGTTTGACGATGGTGAAGGTAGCCAAGACCTACGGAGTGCCTAGTCACAGTACTGGTTTTGTTTTTTGGGTTTTTTTTTTAAGATTTTATTTATTTATTTGACAGACAGAGACCACAAGTAGGCAGAGAGGCAGGCAGAGAGAGGAAGGGAAGCAGGCTCCCCACCGAGCAGAGAGCCCGATGCAGGACTCGATCCCAGGACCCCGAGATCATGACCCAAGCCGAAGGCAGAGGCTTTAACCCACTGAGCCACCCAGGCGCCCTGTTTTTTGTTTTTTTTTTTTTAAGATTTTGTTTATTGATCTGTCCAAGAGAGAGAGCGCCCACGCACCAGCAGGGGGAGCAGCCGGCAGAACAGGGAGAGGAGAAGCAGGCTGCCCGCTGACCAAGGAGCCAGATGCGGGACTCGATCCCAGATACTGGGATCATGACCCAAGCAGAGGGCAGCGGCTTAACCGACTGAGCCACCCAGGTGTCCCTAGTCACAGTACTATTACCAGTCCCATCTTAAAGGTCAAGTGGAGGCTCATGTACGTGCCCACGGTCGTGGCACCACTCTGCCCTTGCCAGACGGAGGACCCCCCCCAGGAGGCATGACTAGGGTAGAGGCCTAGTCCCGGGACCTCGCTGCCACACAGACCCGTGGCTTGCTCCTTCGAGCTCCCAAATCGTTCACAGTGTGAACTGTAGACCCCAAATGGTGTGCTTACCCCGGGATCTGTGGCAAACAAGCTGCCCCTGGCCAGGCCCGGGGCACGAGGAGCCCTCAGCGTGGGCAGGAGAATCACCCCAACCCCCTGGGTTCGCTGGCCTCTTGGCTGAGGTGCTGCGGTCCAGACTGTGCCCGGGGCCCCTATTTCCGGGTGTGAGGAGGACCGGGGCAGCAGGGGGTCTAACAGGCCATGACTGTATGGCTTAGGCTCAGGGGACAGGGACAAAGGCTCCAGCCTGCCCACTGTCAGCTCCTTGTCCCCCTGCCTCCCTGCAGACCTCCCTGTTTGGCTCCCACCACGAATCCCCAATCCCCTCCTGGACCTTCTCAGCCTGGGAGTCCCTGACCGACCACCAAGACTGGAGAACGTCCCTCTGGGCTTTCCATCGAGCTCAGCTCGGCAGCCCACAGAGCTGAGTACCTTGATGCATATTTACTACAAAGCAAGCCAGCAGCCTGTAATTGACTCCCAGGGTGTAATTAACACACTAGTTTATTTCATAACGTAAGCCACCCAAAGTTTGCTGGAAATTTATTTTATTATTAAGAAGTCACATGATACAAAAGAACGAGAATATTCAAAGGGCACTTGGTAAAATACTGCTTTGTCCCAAAGGGCAGGCAGAAAAGGTCATGGCACACAAGGGATGCTCAGATAAGAGTGGAGAGACTGAAGAGTGAAAACAAGTCATGTGTGCCCGTGCCCACCCCCGCCAGCCCAGCAGACAGATAAGCATTCACCTGGGTCTAAACATCGAGTGGGAGGAGAGAACCAGAGGGCTGGGCGCCAGGCGGGCTGGGCCGCTCCGGTCCAGTGACTCCAGGAAGGGGGATGAGATGGCCTCTGGGTGGGAAATTCCAAAAGGCTGTGGATGCCCATTTATTATAACAAACAACAGAGTCTCTACTGCCGGAGGCAAGCCCACCTCGGAACATCTGAGCCGGCAGGCCAGTCTGCATTTCCTCTGCCAGAGCTCTCCACAGGGAGGGAGGGCAGAGCAGAGCCCAGTGCTCAGCGGGGCTGGGCCTGTGGAAAGTCTCAGAAGTGCCGGGAGGGCCGTGGACCCACCGTGGAGGTGCAGAGGGGCTGGGCCCGCTCTCCTCTACCCCCTCTAGGCTGGCTCTTCTGGGAGAAGCCAGGAGGGTGAAGCAGGGGGAAAAGCTATGCCCAACACCACATCCAGCCTCCTTACAATGTCCCTGGAAAGAGGAGACCAACTCAAGTGGGAAGTCCCCACGCATAGGCCACTCCCGGGGTTGGGCAGATGGACACCCCTCGGCGCCATCTTGAGGGAGAGCAGGCAGCTGAGGTGGGTGGGGGTCTCCTCCTCAAGCTATCCCGGAGCTCCCAGGCTTCATGGAACTGGAGCAGATGAAAAAAGAGCAAACACGGGACATCCGCCTTTTGGCACTGTGTTGTCCCCAAAGGCTGGCAAAAAGGCACTTCCTTCCGGTCAGAATGTGTCCTGACCACAAGGCCTGAGTGAAGGGCACAGAGGGCTCCCGAGCCAGGCCCTGCCTGGCTCCCTCCAGTTCCAGCCAGCCAGAGAAGGTCACCCTCTCTGCCTGCCTCCTTGCTGCCCCACAGAGCCATCCCCAGACATGCAGTGTGGGTGGAATGAGGCTGAAGGAATGCAGGGTGTGGTCACCAGAGTCCAGGGAAAAGACCAAAGACCCACACTGGACCTACAGGTCCCAAATCCTATTCGGTGGCCCCCTGCCGTCAGCGCTGTCCCCGAGGACTGCAGAGCAGGGAACACTGTCCATCCTGAGAGGGGCACAAGGGCAAGTCCCGGGCTGGCACGAGGCAGCCAGAGCCTCCTTGGATGGTCCTGAGACAGCCGTGGGGCAGAGTCCAGGGGCAGGGCAGGCGGGACCCTGCAGGGGTCCCCCCGGCACCTGTGCGGGCCTCGGACCCTCACAGGCAGAAGCCACTCCTTCCCTCCCGAGGGAGCCCCCGTGCCCCACGCCAGAGCCGCAGCCCGGTCCTGCCCCTCTGGGAGACGAATGCTGGGCCAGGTCCGGGGCAGCCTCACCCTGCGCCCTCCCCCTGCCCGGCGACGCGGCCCTCAGCCCTGCTCCAGGCTGTCGCTGGGCTGCACCACGGTGTAGCTCCCCTGGCTGGTGGACAGCTGCCGGCTGAAGAAGGACGTGGTGCGCTTCGGCTTCACCCGCTTGATCTGCTGACCTGTCACGGGAAAAGGAGGACCGCGCTGAGGGAGGGCTTCCCGAGGTGCGGCGGTCCAGGCCCCCCGGCGGCGCCAGGGGCTGGCTCCTGCCAGAGCCCGTTCCGACGGAGCCCCGCTCGTTGTAGCTGCGAACCGTCGGAGCCGGGGACCCTAGCTCGTCCAGCCGTGGGGCCGGCCTCCCGAATCACAGGCAAATCCAGGTTTGCACGCGATGCTGCGCCAGCAACGCTGTCCCAGGGGCTTCTGCTCAAACTGGATCAAGAACAGACCAAAGAAATACAACACCTACAGCACGGACGGCGGGCCGAAGGTGCGCCTCAGTAAGTCAAAAAGTCTCACAAGTTCAAATTTCAGGCCAGGTGACAAGGTCAACACCAACCGTCCTAAGTCATGTTGATCACGCACCTTTGATAGGATGAGATCAAAATGGCACTTTACCTCTGGGACCTTCCTCCCCAGCCCACAACCCCTGCCTAAGTATGGGGAAAGCATCAGGCAAATTCCAGTCACGTGGCCTCCTATGCTATCCCGAGCGGTCTTCCTCCAAACGTTCAAGGTCACCAAAACCCAGGGAAATCTGAGAAACCCTCACAGCCCAGCAGCGCCTACAGAGACCTGATGAGCAAATGCAGTGTGGCGCCCCGGCTGGGAGCCTGCCGCTGGAGAGGACATTGGGTTAAAGAGAAGGACTTTAGTTAATAACACTGTATCCATGTTCATTCACTGTAACACGTATACCACATTAACGTAGGTGTTAATTTTAAAAAACAACAGGGCGCCTCCGTGGCTCAGTGGGTTAAGCCTTTGCCTTCAGCTCAGGTCATGATCCCAGGGTCCTGGGATCGAGCGCTGCGTTGGGCTCTCTGCTCCGTGGGAGGCCTGCTTCCCCCTCTCTCTGCCTGCCTCTCTGCCTACTTATGATCTCTGTCAAATAAATTAGTAAAAACTTGAAAAAAAAATAAAACAACAAAAGAAAACAAGGCAACACAAATAAATGAACAATAATCCATGAAGAAAACAGGAATGGCCACGCACATGAAATTGGTCCAACCTCCCTAATATCTGAACACCGACCCGAACAAGTTCTTGCCGTGTGCTCAAGAGGGGCTGGACGGCTGGTGCGCGCGCCGTGGGACACCACAGCCCCGTTTCTAGGAATTTATCCCAAGGAAGCGGTTCAGATTCCCAGCACGGATTTATAGCTATGTTGTCTGCAGTGGCCAAAAACTGGAACGAACCGTCATGTCCCACAACAGGGAGCCAGGTGACGCCTGCTAGCCACACCAAGGAAGACTACAATAGTAGAAAATGGTTATGTTACAGAAAAATTGTTTTGCTTTTTCTGATTATAAAAATGATATGCTTGGGGCGCCTGGGTGGCTCTGTCAGCTAAGCATCTAGCATCTGACTTCGGCTCTGGTCATGATCCAGGGTCCTGGGGCCGAACCCCCTCCCCCTGCTCATGCCTTCTCTCTCAAATAAATAAAATACTTTATTTTATTTATTTTATTTATTTTAGAAGATTTTATTTATTTGACAGAGAGCACAAGCAGGCAGAGAGGCAGGCAGAGAGAGAGGAGGAAGCAGGCTCCCTGCCGAGCAGAGAGCCCGATGCAGGCTCGATCCCAGGACCCCGAGATCATGACCTGAGCCAAAGGCAGAGGCCCAACCCACTGAGCCACCCAGGCGCCCCTGTTTTTAAGATTTTATCCGTTGAGAGAGCACGAGTTGGGGTTGGAGGATAGGGAAGGGGCACCCCTCAAATAAATAAAATATTTTTTTAAAAATGACATGCTTGTTGTCAAAAATGTAAATACTACAAAGAAACACAAAGTAAAAAGTTGAAGTTACACAAATTTACCACTGTGGTGGGCGGGTCTCCTTCATCCTGTACATGGATACTCTGGCGTGGGGTGGTCGTGCTACCTGATTTTTATTACTTGGCCTTATTTTGTGAACATCTTGCTATTTTTAAAATTTTTAAAAAATTTTATTTATTTATTTGACAGAGAGCGAGATCACAAGTAGGCAGAGAGGCAGGCAGAGGGGGGGGGAGCAGGCTCCCTGCTGAGCAGAGCCAGATGTGGGGCTCGATCCCAGGACTCTGAGATCATGACCTGAGCAGAAGGCAGAGGCTTAACCCACTGAGCCACCCATGCGTCCCTTGCTAATTATCTATTTTTAAAGATTTTCTTTCTTTCTTTTTTTTTTAAAGATGTGATTTCTAAGTAACCTCCACACCCAACATGGGGCTCAAACTCACAACTCCGACGTCAAGAGTTGCATGCTCTACTGACTGGATCAGCCAGGAGCCCCCTACATCTTGCTACTTAAATCCAGGTCTTAGTTACTACATTTAAAACCTCCTTGGGGCAGGTGCCTGGGTGGCTCAGTGGGTTAAAGCCTCTGCTTTCGCTCAGGTCATGATCCCAGGGTCCTGGGATCAAGACCCACATCAGGCTCTCTGCTCCGTGGGAAGCCTGCTCCCTCCTCTGTCTCTGCCTGCCTCTCTGCCTACTTGTGATCTCTGTCTGTCAAATAAATAAATAAAATCTTTAAAAAAATAAAAATAAAAAAAAATAAAACCTCCTTGGGGCACCTGGGTGGCTCAATTGTTAGGCATCTGCCTTCGGCTCAGGTCATGGTTCCAGGGTCCTGGGATCAAGCCCCGCATCGGGCTCCCTGCTCCACGAGAAGCCTGTTCTCCCTCTCCCACTCCCCCTGCTTGTGTTCCCTCTCTTGCTGTGTCTTTCTCTGTCAAAAAAATAAATAAAATCTTTAAAAAAAAAAAAAAGAAAAGCTTCTTATTTTGGACTAATTCTGGATTTATCAAGAAGGCCCAGAGATGAGAATATGAAGCGTTCCTAGATGCCCTCCTCCAGCTTCTCTCGGTGCTGGCTGGCTCCCTCTGTTACTGCCGCATATTTGCCAAAATTAAAAAATGAACCGCGCTGCCACACAGTTGACTGGATGACAGCCTTCCAGAAGTCAACAGTTCTTCCACAAATGTGTCTGCTCCAGGGCCTGGTCTGAGACACCGCCCGTGTACCCGCTGCCCTGACTCCACCGGATGTGGCCCCGCTGCTTCTATACCCACACCTCAAATAACGGACACTGGGAGTTTCCAGTGTGTCCTGTTCGGACACAGCCGCGGGGAACACATCTGTGGACACAGCAGTGACTGGGACAGAAAAGGACCGCCCCCTGCCAGGGCCCCAGAGCTCACAAGACACGACCCTCCCCTGGCTTCGCCCCCTCCCCCCAATTAGGTCCCTGCCAGCTGGACCCCCGATGCGCAGTCCCCGGGGCTCCCCGCGGCGTGCGCGCGTGCTCACCTTCCTCCACGTAGTCGATGGTGGAGAGATGCTGGAGGCGGCTGCTCACCACGCTGCCCTGCCTGCGCAGAGGGGGGCGCTGAGCGGGGGGGCGGTGGGGAGCCCGCAGCCGAGGGGGCGCCAGACACGTTCTCCAGGGGGGCAGCGGGCTCTGAAGTCTGGTTCAGCTCAATGCAGTACTCGATGAGGCTGCTCATCAGCTCGGCCTGGGGACGAGAGAGGGGCCACCTGAGGTCTCCCCGAGACCCAGCCTTTCCATACTCTGTGGGGCGACACAGATCCCCCCTTCTGCTGGGGGGTGGGGGGGGCAGAGAGGAAACAACTACCACTTACACCAGAAAGGCAGGGGAAGGGGGGAGTCAGGTGCCTGTGGGCCGGGGGACAGGGCAGTCCTGATGGATGTCAGTCCTGGGGGAGGTGCAGGGGTCCCTGTCTCAGCTCTGGGAGGGGGGGTAGGTGAGAAAGAGCTTTCCAGGCCGAAGGCCCAGGCCGGGAAGGCCAAGCGCCCCAGGCTGCTGCCATCGGGCTGGAGGGGGAAGGGAGCTCAGCGGTAACTGGAGGGTGAGGAAGGGAGGCAGAGGGCCCAGGCGGGGCTTTCTGGGTTGTAGGAACAGAGGAGACTTGTCTGAGAGAAGAACCTGCAGGCCTATGAGGAAGGGTGTGGTCTGACCACGGGGTACGGGTGGGTGGCTCCCTCCGGCCCCTTCCTCAACAACGCTACCTTCTCAACAAACCTGACATGTAACACTTGTTGCCAGAAAAGGGGAGGTGACCGGATGTCAGTGAGCACGGTCTGGACACCACATGATGGGGACCCCAGGGGTCGGATGGATCCAGAGACAGAAAGCTGTCAGCGGTGGCATCCCTGAGTTACTGAGCACCCACCCTGTGCTGGTTCGGCGACAGACCATGGGGTACAGCAGCGACCAAGGCGGATCCATACCCCCAAGAAAGGGACCCACAGGAGGAGCAGGGTCAGCGGCCAGGGGTATAGCCCCACGGGGACAAAGAAGTGGCTGTTACCTTGCCCTGCAGCCCAAGGCCTCCCTGAAGGAACACAACCCAGCCAGCACCCATTCCCCACAGCTGCCTCCTTTTGTCACCGAGAGACCCCACACGCAGAGTGGGCAGTGGGCTGGAGAACAGGAGGGCAGCCAGCAGGGACAGAGGCCCCAGGCTGTAAGCCAAACAGGGAGCCCTCTAAGGCCCCTGGGACAAAGCCTCAATCACAGCACGGCGCTCCCCGAGGTGCAGGGAGCCCACCATTAAAACTACACCACGTGAGACAAAATTAAGATTCATCCGAGATAAAGCTTGGCAAACCAGGAACAGAAGGGAACTTCCTCGACCTGATGACGGTGTCTCTGAAAAACCTGCAGCCAATATACTAACTTAGAGCAAGAATGAATGTAATTCCTTCCGAGGTCAGGAGCACATCCAGATGTCTGCCCACACCTGCGCAGCACAGTGTTAGAAGCCCAAGAGAGTGCAATTAGGCCAGACAGACACAGGCACACAGACTGGAAAGCCAGAACACGACTGTCCCTGTTCAGTGATGACACAACTGTCTACAGAGAAAACCCCAAAGAATCTGCAGCAAAACTGTTAGAATCAGTGAGTGAGTTTAACAAAGTGACAGGACGTATCAGTATGTAGGTAACAAAATCAGCGGCATGTCTACATATCACAACGAACAACTGAAAATTGAAATGAGAAGTCACGGTGTTCCTCGCTTCCTGTTGTCTAGCATGTAGATGTGATGGCTGGAGTTGAAGCAGCTATCCTGGACCATGAGGTGAATTTTTTTTTTTTTTTTAAGATTTTATTTATTTGACAGAGAGAGACAGCCAGAGAGGGAACACAAGCAGGGGGGTGGGAGAGGGAGAAGCAGGCTTGCCCCAGAACTGGGATCCCGACATGAGTTCAATCCTATGACCCTGGGATCATACGACCTGAGCTGAAAGCAGACTCTTCAACGACTGAGCCACCCAGGCAGCCCCATGAGGTGAATTTAAGAGTAAGAGAATATGCATTGCAGGCAATAAGATTAAAGGATTCTGAGGTCACAATAACAGATCTGGACTAGACCGCCTACCCATAATGTTATGTGAGAGAAGAATACAGTTTTATGTCACTAAAAAACAAATAAATAAAAATAAATTTTAAAAAGTGCCATCTATGGTAGCACCACAAAGAGAAAGAAAGCAAAGCAAAGCAATACTTAGGGGTAAGTAAAATAGAAGACATTCAGTATCTGTATGCTGACAACTATAAAATGTTAGTGAAAAAAATCAAAGACAAATGGAGACACACAAATCAATGGCCTAGAAGACTTACGATGTCAGCTGTCTCCAAATTAATCTACAGATTCAATGTAATCTTAATCTAAATCCCGGGAGGCTTTTTCCGGGAATGGTAAAAATCAAGACGTTTATCTTAAAATTTAAATGGAAATGCAAAGGAATGAGAATAGTCAAAAACAATTTGAAAAAGAACAAAGTTCTGGAAATCATACTACCTGATTTCAAGACTTACTATGAAGTTTCAGTGATCAATACAGTAGTATTAGGGAAAAACAAACACAGAGATCAAGGGCACAGAACGGATAGTCCAGAGACAGACCCACACACCTCAGCCAACTGAACTGCAACAGAGACACAAGGGCGATTTAATGAAGAGAGGGTAGGCTTTTCAACAAACAACACTGGAACAGAAAGAGAAAAGAGAAAGAATCTTGAGCACCTATCACGCTTCACATAGAAAAGCAACTTGAAATGGACCACAGACTTAAAATTATAAAACATCTAGTTTCTGAAATTTTATTAAGAATTATGAGGGCATCAGTTAAGCATCTGCCTTCAGCTCAGTTAATGATCTCCAGATCCTGGGATCGAGCCCCATGTCAGGCTTCTTGCTCAGTAGGGAGTTTGCTTTTCTCTCTCTCTCTGCCTCTGCCCCTTCCCACCGCTTGTGCGCCATGTGCACACGCGTGCGCTCTCTCTCTCTCAAATAAATAAAATCTTTTTATTTATTAAGTATTAATAGTATAAATTAATATTAATATTTTTTAATATTTGTAATAGTACTGTATTATTCTTATTAATTTAAAAGATCCTTTTATCTTATTAAAAAGATTTTACTTATTTATTAGAGAGACAAAGTGAGCGCATGAGAGAACACAAGCAGGGGGAGAGGGAGAGGGAAAAGCAGGCTCCCTACTGAGCAGGGAGCCCAATGCAGGGCTTAATCCCAGGACCCCAGGATCATGACCTGAGCTGGAGGCAGACACTTAACCAACTGAGCCACCCAGGTGCCCCAAATCTTTTTTTTTAAAGATTTTATTTATTTATTTGACAGAGCTCGAGAGAGCGAGAGCACAAGCAGGGGGAGCAGCAGAGGCAGAGGGAGAAGCAGACTCCCTACTGAGCAGGGAGCCGGATGCAGGACTGGACCCCAGGACCCTGGGATCATGACCTGAGCCAAAAGCAGAGTAACCGACTGAGGCACCCAGCTGCCCATAAATTAAAAAAAAAAAAAAAAAAAAAAACTAAAAAACTTCTAGAAAAAAACAAAGAGTATCTTTGTGACTTGGGGTTAGGCAAAGGCTTCCGAGGAAGCCAAAAGCACAAACCCTAAGAGGGAAAAAAAAAAACAACAACAACTGATAAAATGGACTCCATCATAATTAAAAACAGCTCTTCAAAAAAATTAAGAAAATGAAAAGTCGAATCGCAGACTGAAAGATTTGCAAAACGTATCTGATAAAGGATGCCAGATACAGAATGAGCGCTCCCAACTCGGGAAGAAAAGCACCCAGTGAAAACACGGCCCGGTGCCCTGAGCAGACGCTCTGCTGGAGACGATGTCTGGACGGTGAATAAGCTCACGGAAAGGTGCTCGACATCATGGGTCACGAGGACAAGGGCATGGAAGTGGCAGTGGCAGGTCACCTCCTGGCATCTGTGGGACTGGCAGACCAGACTGGCACAGACCACGTGCTGGGCAAGGGTGCGGAGCGCCTGGAGCTCCCGGGGTTGGGGTGGTGGGGAAATGCCAACAAAAGCCATGCAGACACTGGGGGGCAATGCAAGTAACCCCAATAAAAAACTGACAAAAGGTGTGAACAGACACGTCGCGGCTGGGAAGATATTAGCAAATCCGCTGTTCTCCGCCCGACTGTGCCACAGGCATGTTAATGCATCAGAACAGACTCTTAACATGGCTGTAAATTACACCTCAATGAAACGGGCTGAAAAATAAAGGACAAAAACATGAGGTGGCACGACTCTCCCTTCAGAGCGGCTACAATGGGCCAGGCTGGGGAGCGGACACGGGGCAGGGCGCTCGCATCCGCATGACTGCTGGGGACAGCTGGCCGTGTCTGCCCCAGTGAGCACGTGCTGACCTGCTGGCCCGGCCCTTCCACTCCCGGGTGTCCACCCACGCACGCGCACCCAGGACACGCGTGACCGTGATCGTGGCAGCATTGCTGGCAACGGTCCCACACCGGAAACCCAAGTGTCCCTCAGTGATGGGATGCGAGAGCGGTGAATTGGATGCTGGCACACCAGAGAGCACCTCAAAAGGTCGAGCTGCTACTACCTGCGGCGAGGATGGAGCAGAACGGAGCAGACAGAAGAGAACACATTGCGGCTAGAACCTGCTGCTAGAAGGTTCAAACCAGGTGGAACAACTCAAGAGTGAAACAAGGATGTTTCAGGATGGGGTGTCCCTTGGCGGGGAGGCCTGGGAGGGGGCTCAAGAGGTTTCTGGGGTCCTGGTTCTATTTTGCAACCTGAAAGGTGTTACATGGGTTTATTTTGGGAAAACTTGATTTGGAAGACTTAGGATTTGGCCACTTGCCTCTATGTATAATTCAATAAAACATTTACTTTTAAAAAGGGATCTAGGGCACCTGGGCGGCTTGGTTAATTGTCTGCCTTTGACTCAGGTCATGATCTCAGGGTCCTGGGGTCGAGCCCCGCATCGGGCTCCCAGCTCAGTGGGGAGCCTGCTTCTCTCTCTCCCTTACCACCCTGCTCATTCCTTCTCTCTCTCTCAAATAAATAAATTAAATATTAAAAATAAAAATAAAAAAGAGGTCTAGCCTAGTGATGTAGAAGTTAAGGAGTCATCAGCAGAAAGGTGGAACCAGCCAAGGATCAGAGCTGAGAGAGGGAAGAGCTCAGGGACGCTAGGGCAGTGGGTCACAGGAGCCATGGCAGGGGACAGGAGGGTCCAAGAGCTCATGGTCAAGCTGAGAGGGGATGGAGGACAGAGGCGTGTGCACTCTGACAAAGCAGGGGCCACTGGGCTTACGGCTGGGAGGTGCAGGGGTGCGGACTGGCTGCAGAGGGGTGCCGAGGGGGAGGGGAGGGTCCAGAGACCCCAGATGGCGGCTGGGGCGGAGGTGTGTTTTTGGGGACAGGAGTCCCGACCCATGTCAGTGCCGAGATGAAAGGACGAAGTGTGGGAGGGAGGCCTGTGCCATGAACGGGGCTGGGAGCAGGAGGGGCAGGGGCGAGGGTTGGGTGAGCGGAGTGAAACACAGGCACAGTGGGGCCTTCGCCCTGCCATGCCCGCTCCTCCTCCCAACTCCCAGGGGGCCTTGAGGACAGGAAGCCAGTGCGAGCTGGTCACATAGCACCGGGAAGCCCAGGCCTTCTGACTCTCAACAGTGGCCCCAGCTCAGCGGATGTCAGCTCCCCGGGTCCCCAGGCCCTCAGCAGCTGGCTCACCCGCTGTGGGCCAGCCTGGAGCCTCCAACAGTCTGGGGCGCCCTGAGCCCCGGCCACCCAACCCCTACCCGTGCAGGCGACACCCACTACCTGCTTGGAGTAGATCTTGAGCAGCTTGTTGACCGGTGTGCCCTCGTTGTCCCCATCGAACTCCAGCCACAGGACAGACTCCTCCTCCTCGGGGGACGTGTGGTCCCAGGACAGCTCCTGGAAGCGCAGGCCCAGCAGGACGTGCTGCCCAGAGGGAGACGCAGGGCTTGGATTCAGCTGAGCAGAATCCCCTCCTCTCCCCATCCTGCTCAGGGGCCACCAGGAGGGGACAACCGGCCAGGCTATTTACCTCTGAGGCTGACTCTAAATTCCTATATGAGTTTCTCGAGGTGCCCGTGCTCTCATCAGACCCTCACGGGGTAGGGGGATTGCGGTCTGGGGAGGCCTAACCCACAGCACTTCTCACCCATGGGCCAAGGCCAAGCCCAGGGACAGCTGGGAGGGTCAAGTGCAGGAAGATGTGGGTGGGAGGGGCGACCTTTTCCAGGAGCCCAGCTGGGTAGCATCTCAGCAGGAGGCCGAGCTGGGCTCTGGGCCCAGCACCAGCATAGAGAGGTGCTGGGGTCCCATTGTGGAGACAAGCAGCAGTCACCCCACACCTTCCTGCTGGTTTGGAGACTCCTGCCCGAGTACAAAGAAATCACCCCACGGGGTGGGATGCTGACACGACCTATGCAGGGAACCAAGAGACAGCCTGTGCCAAACACGGAGGGTGGGGGGTGGCGGGGAGAAGCGGGACTCAGGAGAGCTTCTGGTCCTGAGGCTCTTCTGGAAAACCCAAACTAGTCTCCAGCCACTGGTCCAACAGAGCGGCCAGACCATGCCGGACTCCCTCCACTCAGAGGTTTAATCCAAGCCGCAGCCTCCCCCCTCCCGCTAGCCAGAGAGGCTGATCTAGAGCAGACCCCAAGGAAGCTCCCGGATGCCCCCAAAAGCCCCAGGTACATCGGAGGACAGGAGGCCAGGCCAACCATGGGCCCAGGGGAACCGCGAAGGCCTGGGTAAAGGCCCCACTCCCTCTCCAGGGAGGCCCCTTGCCCCCCAACCCAGTTCCCACCCTGGGTGAGCTAGAGGTACCTTCTCCCTGCTGTCAATGACGTGCACGCCCTCCAGGCTGATGGCCACGTCCACTGGTTTCCGCCCGCCCCGGTGCAAAAAGCCCTGGGCCGGCTTGTCAACCTCACCGTGGAAGAAGGCGCACCTGGGGAGGGGAACCGCTGTTAGCCTGTCACCTCAGGCACCAGGAAAAGACGGTCCAGGGTCTGGGCTCTGCTGCCATGGTACTCTGGCCAGGCCCATGTCCCGGGCACATGAGACGTTTAAGCTGTTTTGGTAACTGAAGTTTCAGTGAAAACAGTGTGCGGCGGGAGGGAGGCTTCCTGGAGGTGGCGGCATCGGAGCTGGTCATGCAGGACAGAAAGGTGTGAATGGGCAGGGGAGGAACTGCGGGGCACAGGGGAGGGTGCGTGCCGCAGACAGAAGGAAGAGCGTGAATGTGGATGTGGGGTAGCCAGTTATGTCCGGGGCACGGCCAGGAGCCCCGGGACTCGGGCTGAGGCTGCAGGAGGCGGCCAGGCCATGGTAGGGTGGGGAGAGCCCTGCGGCCCACTGTCAGGCCAAGACCCTTCAGCAGCAGTGGGGTCCGGCTGCACCGGTGTGGGGGGCCCATGAGGGGACAGCAGCCACCCTGGGAGGCCTTGGGGCTCAACACTGGGAAGGGTACGGTGTAGGGGCCCTGACATGCCATCTCACCAAGCTGTCGCCCTCTCCCCGGTCCTGTCATGTCCTTCACCCTCCCACGGCTGCCTGGCCCGTTGCCCCCTTGCACCAGGCTCAGCCAGAGCCCTCGCCGAGTCCCGCTGTCTGACTGCCTGCACCCCTGCACCCAGGCGGGCCTGGACACAAGCACGTGCCGCCTCTGATTCCCCTGAAGAGCCTCACTCCTGTCCCTGCTCCTGCAACACCTCAACAAGGTCCGCAAATGGCCGAGATGCCGACATCACAGATCACTGAACTGGCCCAGAGCAGCCGCTCGCCTGCCCTCGTCTACCCCACTCTCACCCGCCATCGCTGTCTGCACACATGCATCTCACCCACCATAAAAACTAAAGACCTTCTCTCCCACTCCAGCCACAAACGCTGTATCTCTTGCCTCCATTCCATGGCGCTGACCCCTGAAGGCGCTGGTCACACTTGCTGTCTCCGGTCTGTTCTCACTCTTCCTCCACCCCCTGCTACCCCGTGATGCTGGAGCCAAGGTCCACTACTGGCCGCACAGGGGATGTTGAACTTGACAGGGAAGCAGCAGCACGGGACGCCTGGTCACTTCCTCCTGCCCTGCCATTCCCCTTGGCCTGGCTTATAGAGACCCGCCTGCCCGCCTCGCTGGCCCGGGACCTCCTTGTGCCTGGTTCACACCCACCTCCTCGGTCAAATCCTGGGGCTCTGGGTTTAAAGCACCCAGATGCTGATACCCAGCAATTATGACCCGACTCTAGACTCAGAAACCTAACGTCCGCTCAGAATGGCCACCGAGTATGTAGCGAGCATCTCCAGATCAACACATCCACAACCAAACCCGCGACCTTCCCCAGCCTGTGCCCTGGCCCAGGCCATCTCAGCTGGCGACACCATCCTCTAGTTGCACAAACTAGACCCCCCTGGAGTCCCGTCTCCTTGTCTTCATTCGTTCCACCGCATGTCTGTCCAGCAAATTCTGCCTACTCTGCCCGCAGCGTTTTTGGCACCTGACCGTGTCTCCCCGCCGACGTCCCCGCCGCCTGGCCTGAGCCGCAGCTCCCTAGTGGAGTACTGTCACGCTGTCCTCACCGGTCACCCGGCTGTGGCCCCTGCCATCCTGTAGTCTGTTCCTACCTCTGCTGCCGTCTCCTGTCCCACCGGAACGTCAGCCTCACCAGACACGAGCCAGGCCTCTCTGCTACTGAGTTACTGGTAGCGCCGAGAAGGCCACCAGTAGGTACACGAAAGCCACCGAGCCACTGTGGACAGCGTGAGGGCAGAACTGGCTCAACGGAAGGTCAGCAGGTCCGCCCACCCTGCGGCTGTGGCAGGTGGAGGCAGAGGACCTGTCTGGGGGCCTGGCCTGCGATGGGAGTGAGGGGAGGACAGGCGTCCAGCTTGGTACCCGCGGGGCCCAAGGTGCTGGCATGAAGACACACCTCACGTGACAACAGAGCTTGGATGGCACAGGGACAGGCACCCTGGCAGGCTGTGCTGGCCCAGGCCAAGAGAGCATGCTGGGCTGTCAAGGGAAGGGGACAGCAGAAGCCCAGGGCTGCGGTGGCCTGTGACAACGTGAGAGGGAGTCGCTCACCCATAAAAGGGCAGCTCGTGGCTCTTGAGGAGGTAAGCGCGGTAGTGGGGGCTCAGGGAGGCCCCGTGCTCGCCGTCACTGCCGGCCGCCTCCTTCACTTGGCAGTAGGCGCTCAGCAGTCCCTGCTCGCCTGTGCCCGCCTTGGCCCCTCGGCCCCGGAGGGCAGCAAAGAGCCCGTGGCCCCGCTTGCAGAGGTGGGCGGGGAGGAAGGAGTCCAGCTTCTCCCTGCAGAGGAAGGAAGATGGGTGCCCGGCATGAGGAGGGGCTCCGGGGCTGAGGGCCTCAGGGTGGCCTGCTCCTGGGCAAGGGCAAGCGAGGCCCCGGATCAGGACCGCCCCGGACCAGCACCTCCGCCCAGCAAGCACGCCCGGTGGGTTACCGGCCTAAAGGGAAGGCCAGGAGACCAAAAGGGGAGCTGCAACCAGCCCCCCTGCCCAGACAGCCTGTGGCTGGAGGGTTTCAGCACAGCGCCCGGCCACTGAGTCAGGAAGGTTTAGATTTCTGAGTTAGTGGAACTTTGACAAAGAAAAAACCGTAAGGCAAGTGACCTACAGCTTTCCACGTATTTTCTGCCAAACACGGATATATTAAAAACAAAACCAAAACCCACCACCAACTCACAATCTGTCAGCACAGGTTTGAGAAGGAAAAGAGGTTTCCGGTAACGCAACCGTGAAGCAGGCAGCCTGGGGTAACCGCGCGGCTCCCAGGCAGGCGGTGCGGGTGGTGCGCTGGCCACGAGGCCGACTCAGCCAGAGCTCTGTCTTGGAGCAGCGAGCACCTTCTCGGAGGTTCTCCATGGATCAAATAAGGATGCTAACCGCTACTTGCATGGAAGGGCACTGGCCTGGGCCTGGCACCGAGTGTCGCGGAAGATGCCATTCTCACCTCCGAGGGGAGGGGGCTCTGCTGTGCCTTCTGGATAACCAAACGCCCCAGGCCACCAGCAAAGGCGGCTGGGCCGGAGGAAGGGTTGAGGTAGGGCGGTATGAGGAGGGGTGTCTAGGGGGCCATCACCCTTCTCGGGGCTCCCGGGAGCACTTTTGTTGCTTGTGCCCCCACATCCCTTCTTCCAGCAACAACTCTCACCTGTCATCTAGAAACCCAGCCTTCCCCACTCCCATCCACGGGTCTGTGAGGCTCAGGGCCCGCCCATCACCATTCTGGCCACGGTGTCCCCTTTGGGTGGACCTGAGGCTCAGCCAGGGGAAGAGGACGTAGGAGTGAGTCTGAGGAGTCTGGTGTGTGAGGGGACAGACCTCTCCCGCCAATACGTAATTGCTGTGGCTCCCTGGCCTGCCTGAGCGCGAGCCGGCCCTGAGTGCATGGGGCTGTGCCACGGGAACAAGGCATCTGGGGACCCAACTGGAGCCCACTACACCTGGACCACCTCTGGACCTTTCCGTTACTCAGGTTGACAAAGTCCCTCAAATAGACACACGTTGGGCTGCGTTGGCCATCAGGGGCAATAGCAGCAGACACGCCCCAGGGTTAGGCTTCCTCTGGCCACAGGCCCCTGCCTGGGAGCCCTCAGGCTCGGTGAGCAGGGTGGTCCGTGCAGGGCCCCGGCTGCCAGTCCCCTGGCACAGGGCCCTGTCTCTGCACATCACCTTCTCCAACACTGTTCCCTGCAGTGCTGGGGGTGGGGGGAGCCTAGGAGCAGACTGTGCTGAAGTTCCTCTCCACTGGGCTTATCTGTGACCCTCAGGATCATGGTTCACGGAGATCTGAGAACGGCCTGGTCTGCTCCCAGGGCATCGTCAATTTGCACAGTAAGGAGCGTGGCTGAGGGAGGGGGAAGCGCAGAGCCAGCGTGCTGGTGTCTGAGGAATGGAGCCTCTTCCCTGGAGTTTGGGATGAAGCTGGCAAAGAGGCTCAGAGAGGTGGGGTGACTTGCCCAAGGCCACACAGTGTCAGGGCCAGCCCTAGGGCCGAGGTCTCCTGACTCCGGATCTTGGAAGATCACCTGGAAGTAGGGTTCCAGGGCAGCCCTCCCCGCCACGGGCCCCTGCCTCGGGTCACACCAGCCCTCACCTCAGGGCGCAGGCCGTGGGCTGGCCCGGCTGGTAGGGCCCGAGCTGCACGCGGCACACCAGGGCGCCCAGGGCCTCACAGTCCTCCACGTCGCACGGGTACCGTGCGGCCAGCACGTTGCCTTTGGCCTCCTCATAGAGCAGCCGCAGGACCTCCTCATCGTGGATCTGTGGGCCGGTGGGGTGGGGAGGGGCCGCTCAGCTGGGCCGCCGCACCCGTGTCCAGGGGTCTAGGGACACAGGGCCCCGGAGACGGGTGGTCCCACCTGGGGCTCACGGCCTCACCTGGAGCTCCCGCCGCTTTGGGAAAAACACGTTCCTTCGGAACTGCAGGGAAGGCTCATCTGAGGAGAGAGGCTGGGGGTCACTGCCTGGCCCCCCAGTCCGGCCCAGCCCTCTCCCCGCACAGACCCAGTGCCACCCTCCCGCACCATGACTGCCAGAACCTGAGGGCCATCCCGAGAGTGGGAAACCTGGCTTATCTCGACGTGCTTGCTGTCATCCCACGCCACCCTCCCCTGGCTTCCCCCCAAGGAACCCGTAAAAGCTGGTAACTGAGGCCCAGGGGCCCGAGGGGCTGCCCTCTCCCCGCCCCTGGCAGAGCCTGGGCCTCCCCGCTCCCCGGGCCCGATCTCAGGCATCAAGGAGCCTCGGGTGCCCAGAGCGGCTGTGGCTGCCGGGGGAGGCCCAGGTGGGCCCAGCACTAACCTGCAGCCACGTCGTCGTCGGGTGCGTCAGTGAAGCGCAACAGCAACTCAGGCCACTGGCGGCCCAGCTTGTAGGGCCGGTGCCGGGGCTTCAGCTGCACCTCTGCGGAGAGGGAGGAAGCGGCTCGTCTGTGCCTCCATGCGGGACGACGGCCACAGGAGGACACAGCAACGTGGTGGTGGCAGTCGTGGTCGGTGGCTTTCTTTTGTTTTAAGATTTATTTATCTACTATTTGAGTGACAGAGAGAGGGGGAAAGAGCCTGTGCGCGCACATGTAGGGGGTGCGGGGAGGGTCAGAGGGAGAGAGAGAATCTCAAGCAGATCGCCCCCCACCACCACTTGCCACTGAGTACGGAGCCCGATGCGGGGCTCGATCTCACGACCTGAGCCGAAACCAAGTGTGGGTCACTCAACTGACTAAACCCCCCTGCCCCGGTGCCCCAGTCATGACCAGCATTAACTGAGCAGGTAGAAGCTTCCAGAAGGACTTCAAGTAGATGACGTGCATCTGCCCTGTGGTAACACTATCCTCATTTCATGCGTAGGGAGAAATGAGGCTCAGAGAGGTTAAGTTACTTGTCCGAAGTCACACAAGGGAGAGAGGGTCAGGCTCCAGGCAGCGCCAGCCTCTGACCGTTCCCTCCGGCACAGAGGGTCAGCTGGAGCGGAGAGGCTATGGCTGACGGAAGGTGCCAGGGATGGAGGTACAGATGAACCCCCCTGGGCCATTAGGAAGCAGAACACAAAGCTGGTAACCAAGGCCCCGGGGGGCCACTCTCCCTTGCCCCTGGCAGAGCCTGGGCTTCCCCCTCAGCAGGCCCCACGTCCAGCATCTCCCCCCGGAGCTCCAGATGTCCATTCCATGCCATCCAGCTCTCCAGCTCATCTCCTTCTCGTTCTCTCTCCCACTCTGCTCCTGTCATATAGGCCTCCCTTCAGTCACCTGAACCTTCCCAGTTCGTCGGTGCCTCAGGGCCTTCGCACTTGCTGTTCCTCCTGCCTCAGACTCTCTTCCCCCTAGACCCACATGTGGCTGGCTGGCTTAGGTCTTGGTTCTAGTGTCTCCTTCTCCAGACCCTTTACCAAGGCAGCCCCCCCCCATCACCTTCCACGCCAAGTGCACACTGATTTGGTTAATTTTACGGTATTTACCACTATCTGATGTCACCCCCCGTCACTGCCCCACTAGCCAGTGAATCCTCAGGTCACTTCAACAAGAGTGGCTCTGTCCCATTCACTGCTGTACCCCTGGCCCGTCACAGGCCCTCATGGAGGTGGGCAGAATGGCCAAGTGCACCCAGCCCCTTGACTCTGGGCAGCCAGCTGGCCCAAGACTCAACGGTAACAAGAAAGGGCTTTCATCTCCTCTCCCAGTGACCATGGCCTTTGAGAAGTCAGAGGTCATTTCCAAGCTATCAGTGATGAATGAGCATGGCTTCCGGAGGTCAAGGAGCAGAGAATGGCAACATCTATGCCATCACTGATTTCCCCTGCCTTCCGACCTCGCTTCTGACCCCTAGCTCCCCTCTTGACCCCCCAGCAGAGGGCCCAGTGCCTTATCCCACCAGCTTAAAGCCAAGAGTCCCCATCTCTGTTCTTTGGACTTCCATCTGGTCCCTGATGTTAACCCAAAACAAGAGCCACAACCCCCACACTGGCCTCCCTCCTGCCCGTAGCCTCTCCCACCCACCCCTGCAATCAGCTTCCTCACATCCCTTTCTCCGTTTCTTCCATTCAGACTCCCCAGTGGCTCCTCAACTCTCATTTCCAACGTGGATCCTTGACCACAACCACGTGTCCCCACCCCTGCCTCACCCCTCCCCAGAAGGGGCACTGGCCAAGCACCCCCAGCAGCAGCGTCCTCTCCCCTCCAGGAGAGGCTCCCTCTGCAATCCCACTGACCCGGTCACTCAGTGGGGCCGCCGTAGGCTCTCTGCCTGGACGCTCCCAGGACACCAGAGCTGGACGGCACAGAGACCATCCAAGGACAGGTGGAAAACTGAAAGCCAAAGAGGGACAGTGCCCACCCAAGCCCCCAAGAGTCAGCGGCTAAACCAGGACCCGAGCTCCTGTACCAGACTTTAGACTGCGAGGACCCTGAGAGTGGGACACCTTTAGTCCTGCTCCCAGTGTCCCCAGCGCTTAGAGTGCCAGCCAGCGTGATGGTGGTGGTGGTGGTGGTGGTGGTGGTGGTGTGTGTGTGTGTGTGTGTGTCTGTGTGGTTCTACACATACTTGTGAAGTGAACAGGGTACTTGACCAGCTGGGACCCCTGAAGACACTGAGGAGGGGAGTGGACCCGGGATGACGGTGCCCTTCCTTCTGCCCATGGCCCAGCACTGACCCCAACCCCAGCAGCTCAGAGCACTCCCAGGATCACAGCACGACACTGGCCCCGCGGTACCACATGCTTTCCGATGGGGCCTTCCCATCTGGAGACGTTCACCCAAAGGAAACTGATGGTCCCTAGAACCGGTTCCATACAGAGCGACGAGGGCACGGAGAAGGACAAACTCCCGGAACGTCCAGCTTGCGGTGCGGCTCCAGCCAACAGCGCCTGCCCCTGCCCTAGAGCCCTGGGCCATCTGTCACTGCTTACCCCACTGAGTCAGGGGCAGCCAAGGGTTCCGAGGGACCTGAGTCAGCGCTGAAATGGCCTCTCGGCCTTCCTGAAACCCAGCCTGGGAACCAAGTGGGCGCTGACTTCATGCCGGGGCCTCTAGCCACCCTCATCCCCAACAGGGCGGTGGCCCAGAGTGACCCTGCTGGCCACACAGGCAGCCCATTCATGTTCTTGCGGGGTGGGGGGAGCAGGAATGCGATGAGGAGGGAGTAGACAAGAGGCCCAGCTGCGGGGACAGGGAGCCTGAGGCAGCACAGGGGCGAGCCACCCCCGGCTTCCCAAAGATACAAATCAAGGGGCCCACCGTTTGGGCCAAGACTGGGAGGCTGAGAAAGGGGCAGCTGAGCTGGGTGCGGAAGGGATGGAGAAGACGTGTCAGCAGGAAGAGGGTGGGTGAGAGCAGCAGCTGTACAGGAAGCTTCCATGGTGTGGGGGCACGGACAGGATGGAGACACATGGGAGGGGCATTCTCTCCCCGACTAGGCTGGGAGAGATCCTCCCTGTAGGGCAGAGACACAAATCCCATTGGTCTCAAGAAAGAAGTAACCGCTCGGGGCCCTGAGGGACCAGTCACCCACTTCCAGCCCCTGTTCCTCTATAAGAAAGGAGAGGATTTCAGCTCAGCAGACATGCGCGGCCCTGGCGCCTCCTGGGGCATCCTCTCTTCTGTCCCCAGGGACCTCCCCTGCCCCCCACTCCTGCTCCACCACCCCCCGCCCCGCCTTGGGATGTCAGCCTGAAAGGCAGGGACACAGGTGGTCCTGGACCAGAAGCCAAGCAGGGCTGCAGAAAAGCCGGGTTCTTGCCTGTCCCGCCCTCCCCACCTACGGGGGTGGCTGCTTCCTGGACCAGGTCCCACCTTCCTCCCTGCCCTCAAGCAGAATTCAGTTCAAAGAGGCTGGCCGAGGGGGGCCAACCAGGCTTCCACTCTGATCTGAGTCCTACTACTCACGGAAGCCATCACTCCAAACCACACCTTCTTCATCTGCAGCACAGAGCAGGGCCATGAGGATAAGGAGGGATTTCGCTCAAGAAATGCCCACTCAGGCTGTGGCACAGACCACATGCTCCACGAACACAGATCCCTTCCCTCCCTGTCCCCTAGTCCTGCTCCGCCTGATGTCCCAGGCTCCAGCACCACGGAGGCTGAGGGCCAGGATTGACCCTTCCTCGGCCACCAGCAGAGAGAAAGAAGGGGGGGCGCAGAAGAGCCAGGCGTCCTCTCAGGGATCTGGGGCCTAAAAGTGGGGGCTAGCTGTAGGTCCCACCTAGGTCCCACCTTCTCCTGATGCACAGCGGCCGGAGGTTTCGGAAGCGGCCCCCTCCCCAGCCCCTGGTCACTGCCCTTCTGACCCTCCAGCCTGGGCTTCTCATTGCCAAGCCTTACCCAGCAGAGGGGACACAAGCCAGAGGGCGAAGACATCCAGGGCGATGTCCGGGAGCTGCAGAACCTCACGGACAGCCCGGTGCAGCTCGTGGGCACTGAGCGAGGGCAGGTTGTCCGCGGCCAGGGGCAGCACTGTGTCATCCGCCAGGTACACAAGCACGTCAGCTGCTGCAATGGAGGCTAGGTGGGTTCAGCCGGGCCTGCTCCCTAGGTGGAACCCCTATATCCCTCACTGGGGCTGGAGGCCTCTCCCTGCACCTTGGGGTGACCAAGGCTACACCCAGAGACACAGCCCCAGCAGCCCCAAAGGACCCTGTGAAGAGTGCTGTTAGGACTTACTTGAGACCCTCAAACCACCCAGAAACCCTGCAACTCTGGCCCAGGAACCAACCTAGCCCCACCCTAACTCCCAAAGGTTCAAACGAAGGCTGGCCACTGCACTCTCACACACTCTCCTGGCAGCCCCAAGGACTCTGCTGGGCTCCTTTCTTGACAGAGAACATTCCACAGGTGGGGACTGAGGCAGAGACAGGCTGAACCCATCCTAAGATTATAGGAGTTGGCATATCAGGCTGGGAAGCAGGAGAGCTGCCAACCCACTGTTATCCTTAGGCGAGTGGCTGTCTCTCTCTGGCTCAGCCTTAGATGGAATTGAGGATTCCTAAGGCTGCCCTGGGGTAAAGCAATTTCCAGGGCTCAGCTTCCACAGGATTCTTCATGCCTCAGGATTCAATACCATAGCCTTTCAGGACTGTCTAAAGAGGCCAGGAGAGGGGCGCCTGGGTGGCTCAGTGGGTTGAGCCTCTGCCTTCGGCTCAGGTCATGATCTCGGGGTCCTGGGATCGAGCCCCGCATCGGGATCTGTGCTCAGCGGGAAGCCTGCTTCCCCCCAACCCACCCTGCCTGCTGCTCTGCCTACTTGTGATCTCTCTCTGTCAAATAAATACATAAAATCTTAAAAAAAAAAAAAAAAAGAGGCCAGGGCAAATACAGTCTAAAAAGTTGGGTTTTACTTGTGACAGCCCATAGCATTCTTATTCGGAAGCTGGTGCCAAAGGGAGATCCTTGGAAGAGCAGCCAGATTCAAATTCCCCATCCTTGGAGCTGAGGGACTGTGGGAGAGACGGAGCTTGGAGGCCTATACACTTGGGTCCCAGTCCTAGCCTGGGCCCTGGCTAGCAGGCTGACTTCAGCAATGTCAGTTGTCTCATCTGTAAAGCAGGGCGAACACCCCTCTCTCAAAGGATGGCTGTGGGTCAAATGGGGGTGAAGCCTATGAAAGGCAAAGGTATAGTTTATCATTGACACAAGTGAAAGTGTATTTTGGATTTCCAGTCTGTTCCAGCCATAACCGCTACTTTCTTGACGGACCATAAAGTCATCTCGAGGAGGCTGTGATTCAGACTCACTTTTCAGGTAGGGACAACTGAGGCAGGACAGGCTCCAGGACCTAGTGACTTAATAACCTCTCTAGGGCCCAATTTCCTTCCTTATAAAATGAAAATAATGATCCCTGCTTTCAAACCGCTGTTTGCGAGAAAGAAATCAAAGAACCTGAACGCATCCCTTTCCATTCATGAGATTTCGTTTGAATTTCACAGCTCGGCAAGACTTGCTCCTTTTACAAATGAGAAACGGGAATTTCAAGAACAGAACCCACCTTGGCCAACAGCCTAGTGACAAAGCCTGGCAGCTCTGACTGTCTTCTATCACTTCTCCACACCTCCGTAGACCTTATTTGTTAATGAATACATAAAATTCTCTCTAATGAAAGAGATGACAAGCCAGGGCCACTTCCCCAAGGCTAGGGCCCCAGCTCCATATAGATGGGAGGGGATGGGGACAGGGACCCACCTCGGGTTCCCACGGAGGACACGCTGCTACGATGGGACCGCTCAGCGGGGCCCGGCTGCCCAGCATTGCCTTCTGTTCCGTCCATCTGCAGAGAGAAAGAGAAAGAACGGTTACTTGGGGGTCCAGGGATTGAGGGTTGGGGAGCTCCTCAAGCTCCCACTGAAGAAGGGCGGAGTCCCGGCTGATCTGCGAAGGTGAACAGCATTAGCTAGAGGCACCGGTGGGCAGAGCAGTGGGTCTTCAGCCCCCTCGAGGTCGAGGCTGGTGGGAGGAGTCAGGGCGCTGATGGTCAGGAGTGGGGTCGAAGCTCGGCCGGCCGGGACGCCGGCTCAGGCAGGGCACGGCGCCCTCCCTCCCACCTGGGGCGGGAACCTGCGCAGGGCGCCGCCGTAAACTCACCTCGCGGGGAGTCAGTGCCCGCCGCTTCAGCCCACGCTCCGGGTCTGAGCCCGACCCCCAGCTCTGGCTCCCGCCCCGAAGTGGGCGAAGACTCCGGGACCCGATCCGGCACCAGCTCCCGGGGCTGCGACGCGGAAACTGGGGCGGAGGAAGCGCGACGCGCACGGCCCCGCCTCCCAATCCGCAGGAGCCAATGGGAGCCCGGGGCTGCGGCGCACGCGCCCTGCGCGGCGCCCGCGCGCTCACTCCTCCCACCGGCGCCGGCAAGCCTGGGTGCCCCCGCTAGGTGGCTTCACGGGTTTGCTCACGCCCGTGGTCAACAGGTGGCCTCCCACAGAGCTGCCCGCTGGCCCGTAACAAGGTGTAGCGAAGGTTCGAGGAAATCGAGAACGGAGACTCACTCGCGTGTGGTGTGGGGCCGGTCCCCTCACCGGTGAAAGGGAGATGCTTCCTGGGACTTGTCAGGGATCCCCCTCGTTTCGGGTAGTGGGTAGAGGTGGCTCAGGCAGCAGCTGTACTGCAGCGCCCCTGGGCCATGACGGGTGATGGACTCTTCGCTGGGGTCAGAAGACTGGATCCCTGGCCCGGCTCAGCCTGGACAAGCCCCTTCTCCTCCGGGCCCCAGTTTCCTATCCTGTAAAATGAAGAAGTTGAACTCAACGACCTCCAGTGACTCTCAAATTATATGCTAGAAACTCAGGCCAAGCACACTTGATTTTCCAAGAAGCAGTCACATGAGTCCTCTCTATCTTAGTCTGGAGACCTTGAGCTCTTCCCAGGCTGGAAAGAGACAGACAGGAAAACCACCTATTCCAAGGTCACATCACCAACATGTCCTGGCAACACCAGCATGTGTACCCAACATGTCCTGGCAACACCAGCATGTGTACGTGCTGCTTCCACCCCTGCCCCCTTTCTCTTGCAGCTGACTTGTTTGTGCCTCACTCTTCTCCTGTGTGCCATCGGGAAGCGGCATGTATGTCTGATGTGTAGATCTCAGGGAGAAAAACAGGTCCATGGGGCACCTTCCTGAGCCAGAAGAACCAGAAGTCATTCTAGCCACAACAATGGGCTGGATGACTAGGGATGGGGGTGCAGAGCAAAAGGGGGAGTGGGCTCACTCTGCCCGCGTTCCGCGGCATTGGAAGGCAGCCCCATCTCCTAACCCAGCCCAAGTTTCCTTAGTATAAACGGCTCTTTCCCTGCCCTCCAGGATCCACGCTACCCCATACTTGAACCCATTGCAACATGTCTTCCTTGCGTGAACTAAGGACTCAAGGAAGTTCGATGTGAGCTGGAGAGAAGAGTGAGCAATAATCAGCATCTCCTCCAGGGGCACCTGGGTGGCTCAGCCAGTTAAGTGTCTGCCTTTGGCTCAGGTCATGATCCCAGAGTCCTGGGACCGAGCCCCACATTGGGCTCCCTGCTCAGCAGGGTGGAGGGAGTCTGCTTCTCCCTCTCCCTTGCAGATCCCTGGGTTTGCGTGCCCCCCCACCCCACTCTCTCCCTTTCTCTCTCAAAAAAACAAACAAGCATCTCTTTCCAGGTTCTAAGCTCTGAGACCCTCAGACCAGGACACGATGGCTTGGTGGGCTCCCTTAACCAGCCAGATCACAGTGGGAGCACAGTTCAGTGTCACTGAGTGCTTACTGGGTGTGGGGTCTGGGCTAGGGCAGGAGGTGAGGCACTGCCTTGCCCTCAGCAAGCTCAATTATGGTTTAATTAGAGGTAGAGAGGGGGAAGAAGGAAGCCCAGGAGAGATGCGTATTTCTTTTCTTTAAGTAATTTCTTTTATTTTTTAAAAAGATTTTATTTGTTTATTTGACAGAGAGAGAGAGAGATCACAAGTAGGCAGAGCAGCAGGCAGAGATAGAGGGGGGAAGAAGGCTCCCTGCTAAGCAGAGAGCCCGATGTGGGGCTCAATCCCAGGACCCTGAGATCATGACCTGAGCCGAAGGCAGAGGCTTAATCCACTGAGCCACCCAGGTGCTCCAAGTAATTTCTTTTAAAGATTTTATTTATTTATTTGAGAGAAAGAGAGACACAGAATGAGTGGGAGGAACAAAGCGGGAGGAAAGAGAGAACCTCAAGCAGACTTCACCCTGAGCGTGGATGCAGGACTCGATCCCAGGACCCTGAGATCATGACCTGAGCCAAAACCAAGAGCCAGTTGCTTACCTGACTGTGCCACCCAGGTGCCCTGAGAAACATGTGTTTACAACTACGTACGATGACAGAATTGCCTTCAACGCTACGGAAAACTATAAGCAAGCAGAGATGGGTCCTCACTTCTGGAGCCCTACTGAGTGCCAGACCCTTTCGTTTCCTCAGGTCATCCTCGGGGCCCCTGTGGGTAGAAGTGAGAGTAATAGTAGCTGCTGTTCGTGGTGTGGGTACAATGCACCAGACTCTTTTCTAAGTGCTTTAATTCTTGTATCACACCAGGAGGTGCGTAGTCGAGAAAACAGGATCAGAAAAGGCAAACCACAAAGCCGACGTCTGGCAGTGTGCACAGTGCAGTAAGGAGCCTGGAACAGGTCCAGTGCGGGGAAGGAGGGCACTGAAGGGATTCCCGAAGGCGTTCCCAGTTGCAGGAACTGTGGGAGCGTGGTGAGGACCCCAGGGAAGCCCGGGGTAGTCAGAGCACAGCAGGCAAGGCTGGAAGATGGGGTGGCACCTGGGGGCGGGGGTTTGTGTGTGGTGGGTTTGGCAGGTGATGAGGAGTTTTGGGCGGTTGTGAGCTAGAGTGGGACGAAGTCAGAGCTCTGCCTGGCCAGGAAGAAGACAGGCCTGGTTGGATTTCCAGGAGAAGAGTCCAGCCAGGGCTGGGGCTGCCCTTTGGCAAGGCTCCAGAGAGGGGTCATGGGTCTGCCTTGAACTGGGGGGGTGGGGTGGGATGGAAGAAGAGAGCGGGGCCCATTCTGATGTGAAGGCTGCCAGTCCTTTAGAGCCAAGTGGCCTGAGACTCCGCAATCAGCTGGGCTGCTTTCCTGCTTTTATAAGCAGGAAAAGACCCCCCCCCCCTCCACCCACCAAGGGCCACAGAAGGGATTGCCCACTTGGGAGAGCGCGACCAGCAGAATGAGGACAGCAGCCCAGTCCTCGGCAAGGAAGGGCACTGGGGCAGCCCAAAGAACCCCGGGCAGCTCTAGGTGGAGGACGTCAGAGATGAGCCCTGCTTCCTAAAACCCGTCTACCCGTGAGGAAGTAGCGGTGAGTGGGTTCTACTTTGGCCACAGCGGGAAGGCAGAAGGGTGAGTGGGACTGGTTCTTGGGTATCTGACAGGGAACAAAGAGTTGCATGATCTGGAGGGGCAGGTAGGGATACTGTTGGGGCTTCGCATTCTTTGGGGCCCTTTGGAGATGGGGAGAGAAGTGGAGACCCAGGGCAGGCTGCGGGGCTGCCCACTAATGCTGTCCCCCCCTCCTCGCCGTTCACTCCTTCATTCTTGTGCCAAATATGTATTAAGCACCTGTCCTCTGCTACGTGCTGTGCTGAGCCTTCGGGATAACATCAGTGAACAAACAGCCAGAGGTCCCAGCCCAGACAGACAACAAGTTAATCACTGGTGCATCAGAAAGTCACGGGTGCCGTGGAAGAACGAAGAGGAAGAGCCAGGGAAGGGGCACCAGGAGTGCCCGGCAGGTGATAAGTCTGAGTCCAGGCTAGACCAGGCCAACAGGGAGAGGGAACAGCCAGTGCCAAAGGCCTGGAGGCAGGAGCCCATTGGATGAAGAGAAGGAGGCCTGGGAGGCTGGGACAGAGTGACCAGGGCGTGGCCAGAGATGAGGTTGAAGGAATGTGGGGCTGAATGTTGAGGGGTCCTAGAGCCTAGGAAGGACTTCCGTTTTCAGTCTGAGCAGGAAGGGACCCTTGCAAGGTATGGAGCAAAGCGCAGACACGGTCTGATTTAAATTTCAGCTGAATCCCTTTGGCTACTAGGCAGAGAACAGACTGGAAGTGGGCAGGGGAGGAGGCAGGGAGACCAGGAGACCATGTGGAGGCCTTGGTGGCTTTGGGCCAGGGCGCTAGCAGAGGAGGAGGAGAGGAAGGGTGGGATTTGGGTCCTGCTTTGAAGGCAATATTAACACAATTTCCTTATGGGATGGTGGGGGGTTGTGAGACAGAGGGAGGAGGCAAGGGGGACTCCAAAATTTGGCACCCACATTTGGAGACTTCACGGATTTCTATGGGTGGTGACTCCAGCGCCTTGGATCTGTGTGCCCTGAAAAGAGGACCTTGCCCTGGCCCCACTTCTCAACAGACCTACGAATAGGATCTGACAATATCCCATGGCCCAGGATGTGAACAATACGTTACATCAGCACCCCCCACCCTGTAAACTCTGTTCATGTCAGACACTCATGCTCGACAGCAGCCTCAGCACTTGGGTTGTCCATGTCCCTGGGTCTGCCCTGATGCTCTGCCCTCTGCCCTGACCCCCACCATGTGCATCCACGTCCATCTGTGTCCTGCCTCCAGGTCCGCGGGACTGCCGCTGCCTCCCTCGCCCTGCTGACAGAAATAACTGAAATGTCAGGGAGCCGCGATCCTGAACGTGACCACCACCACCCCCCCCGCCCCACCCTGGAAGCCCCCCTTGGATGACCTCCAGAGCATCCCAAAGGACATGGGAGACAGAGCCTCAGGAAGCATGGGCCTTGCCACAGATCAGCTGAGACGGGAACCCCAGTCTGGATGACATGGAAGCCCCTGCTGCACCCCCCTCAGGCAGAGAGAGAGGATGGGAGCAGGAAAAATAAAGGTACCAGGCAGGCATGGGAAACACAAGGCGGGAGCCATCATCTGATTGGTAAAGAGATGCAACGAATTTTTAAGTGATGTAAAATATCGCTTTCAAAACAACAGCGAGGGGCATCTCGGTGACTCAGTGGGTGAAGCCTTTGCCTTCGGCTCAGGTCATGATCTCAGGGTCTTGGGATTGAGTCCCGCACCGGGCTCTCTGCTTAGGAGGGAGCCTGCTTCCCCCTCTCTCTCTGTCTGCCTCTCTGCCTACTTGTCATCTCGCTCTCTTTGTCAAATAAATAAATAAAATCTTTAAAAAAACCCCAAAAACATGGGGCGCCTGGGTGGCTCAGTGGGTTAAGCCTCTGCCTTCAGCTCAGGTCATGATCCCAGGGTCCTGGGATCGAACCCCGCATCAGGCTCTCTGCTTAGTGGAGAGCCTGCTTCCTCCTCTCTCTCACTGCCTGCCTCTCTGCCTACTTGTGATCTCTCTCTGTCAAATAAATAAATAAAATCTTTAAAAAAAGTAAACAAGAACAAAAACAAAAACAGCGAGGAGTGAGCGTGTTTAAGCAGACCCACCTTGTAAGAAGCCGGCGGGGGAGCGGAATCCAAAGCGTGCTAGAACGTGCTTGGTGTATTGGCCGCAGGGAGGGTTGGAAGGAAGGAAGCAGAGAGGAGGAGAGAGGGATGCAGGTCTCCCTGCGTGTCACTTTAGATTGTTGTCCAAAGAAAAATGGGCATTCATAACCCCAGCGCTGAGACACCAGCCACCCTTGATAACACCCGAATCCCCAGCTTGCCCCCCGGGAGGGAGGCCCGGAGAAGAGAAGGATGTGTACGAGGGAGGCTGTGTATGACTCAGGCAAGGGAGCCGGGGAAGCCGCACACCTCCCTGGGAGGAGGTAGGGCTTCAGGCTAGGGAGTCACTCCTCTCCGGGTTGTGCCCACCCTGTCCGCTCTGGGGTTCCCAGGGCACTGGGACCGAGCTGGGCCTGCCCCATGGTGGCCATGCTCTATCTCCGCCGGCCTGGCCACCGGTTCCCAGGGTGTTGGGCTGGCTAGGCCAGGCCGGGCAGGCAGGGCCTTGCCCTGGACAGGCTCATTGAGGCCTTGCAGGCTGGGGCAGCCCTGGAGGCTGCGGCCTGGCTGCCGTGCCTGGTCCCGCAGCAAGGCTGCGAGGCCATCGTGGGCCGGCAGGGGGCGGGCCACCGCCACGATCCCTGCTCTGAGATTTCACACTCCGCACAGGCCTTCTCCACCGTCAGGGCCACCCAAGGTGGCTTCCTCCCCTCCTGGTGCAGAGGTCTGGGCGCTGGGCCACCGCTCACCCTCCCGGCTGAGTTAAACATTAGTGGGAGGTTATCGGGCGGGCAACGGGGAGGGAGATCAGGGACGGCCAGACGCTCCTTAGCGTCTCCTGTCTGGAGCCACCGGTTCCCGCCCCTGCCAGACAATGCCTGTGGAGGAGTTTGTGGCCGGATGGATCTCTGGTGAGACGTTTTTCTTCCTTCTGCTACATTCCCCCTAGCGGTCCGTCACTGCCAGGGGACATAGAAGGAACAGAGACCAAAGTCTTGGTGGCTTTGGAGCCCGGGGACCAGCTCCCAGAGCCTCCCGGCAGCTGCCTTGGGGGCGCGGGGAGGGAGGTGCGGGTCTCTAAGCTACAAAGCCCTCACCTCCAGGGCCGCGGTGAGCCCCCTCCCAGACACACCTGCAGACCTTCACCGAGAACCCCACTCTCTAGGCCCACCCTGTGGGGCTCAGAAAGGAATTTCACCTTTCACCCCAGCAGCTGTCCTGCCTTCCCCTCTGGGCCTCTGCCCTAGTTTCCGGCACCGAGGCCAGCTGTGTCGAGGGCCCAGCCCAGCTTCTGGGTGTCCCTCAGCAGAAAGAGAGGGACATTCCGAACCTGCCTCCGGGGGCTGTGACCTCGCCCAAGAATCCAGGGCCAGCATCTGCTCTGGGGGGCAAGATCGGAACGTGGGGAGGTGGCCTGGGGGCTGGGCTCTCCTCCCCCCGGGGGGGGCAGCAAGACGCCGTAGGGTCTGGACCAAGACCCCGTACTCCACAGCAGGCGTGAGTGGAAGGGAAAAAGGGGTCAGTCTGGCAGGGACGTGGGGCCCTGGAGAATCTGTCCTGTGGCCCCACAGTTAGATAAGCAAGCAGGACGGTCAGTGTTGGACACTGTGAGGACACGGTGTCTGTGGCGGGCTCCTCCCTTCTGCCTGGGTGTCCTCTGGGAACGGCATTGCCCCTGGTCCCCACACCTCCCTAGCCCAGAGCTTGGCTTGGAGGAGGAGGCAAAGGGGACTGTGGGAGTTCTTTTGGAGTCTGGCCGGAAGGCCTGGCCCCATCTTCTCCTGCCCGAGCTCCCCTCCCCTTGGTTAGGTGCAAGGGGCCCCCCCTCATAGCATCTTCTTATCATGCAGGAGCTCTGGGCTTGGTCCTGGGATACCCTTTTGACACGGTAAAGGTGAGTCGAGGGGAGGCATCTCAGGAATGAAGGCTGTCACCAGAACCAGATGTCACCATGCCTTGAGAGCAGGGCCTGGCTGATGGGGAGCTTTCCTATCAGTGCTGCGCTGCTGGCATCCTGCCGGGCAGAGCGGGAGGAGCGGGGGGCTGGAGCCATCCCTGCCCAGCCCTCCTGGGCTGCCTGCTCTGTCCTCCTCGCACAGGTGCGGCTGCAGACCCAGACCACATACCGGGGCATCTTCGACTGCTTGGTTAAGACTTACCGCCATGAGTCGGTGGGTGTCTCGCCTCTCTGGGGCTTCGGCAGGGGGAGGCCTCTGGGTGGTCGGCAGTAGCTTTCTTCTGCCCCTGAAAGAGAGGAGACCAAAGTTGGGGGTTCCTGGGAGCTGGCTGTGCCCCAAGACTGTTCCCAGCCTCAGCCAGCCTCAGCCTCTCTTCGGCAGGACTCAGGACTGGTTTCTGGCCAGAGGGGACCCTGTCAGAGTGGGAAGGGCAAAGAGGAGACCCCCCCTTCCCCCACTTGGTCCTAATGTCGCCTTGTCTTTCTACAGCTTCTGGGCTTTTTCAAGGGAATGAGCTTCCCCATTGCGAGCATAGCCGTGGTCAACTCCGTGCTGTTCGGGGTCTACAGCAACACGCTGCTGGCGCTCACAGCGACTTCCCACCAGGAGCGGCGGGCCCAGCCTCCCAGCTACGCGCATGTCTTCCTAGCTGGCTGCACGGGAGGTTTCGTGCAGGTGAGAGGGAGGGGAGGGGCACGTACACACAGGTGCTTGCAAGCACGCACGCGCAGGTGTGAGCGTGCACACGTGTACCTCCAGAGCCGTCTGCCGGGCTCAGTGCTGTGGGAAGACCTCTCTCCCGGGGGGATCCCTTGCCCTGGAGAACTGATAGCCTTGCCAGAGCCCCGAGCCCAACTCCTCCAGCCCCGGCGTGGTCCTGGCAGCCCTCCAGCCCATGCCCCGCTCAGCCCTTTTGCCTGAAGCTTCAACCAGGCCCCAGTCCATAGATCTCGCTGGAAGAGGCCTGGGTATTAATCATTAAAGAGCTCCCATCATTTAGTTTTGGTCTTTGTTCTCAGCATTTAAGGATTAGGCTTTTGATTAGTGGGGTGGAGGAAAGAGGGGCCTCCAGACATGGGGGCGGGGGCAGCTGGTTGGGGGTGTGAGCATAGAGGCAGAGGGACCCGTGCCTGACTCTACCCCACACCCCAGCCTGAGGCGCCTGAGGTCACCATCTATTCGGCACCTGCCCTCATGCCCCTAACACACTTTCTGGGGCAGAGACCGAGGACAAAGGATAGAATTAGGTGGCTCAAGCCAGTGAATTAATGATTCATGAGATGCCCGCAGGTCCTGGCTTTCCTTCTGTCCCTTCTTGTGCGGAGCACGTGCCTGCATATTTCCCAAGCCCTGAGACCGGCACGCCACCAAAACAAGGAAGAGAAGCGAGACTCCACGCTAGCGGCTAACCCAGCCAGGCCTAGCTCCTAAGTCGCCCTCCTCTCCAGCTCTTTGCAAAGCCGAGTGGATAGCAGAACTGGGGACTGTAGGCTCATGGATGGGGACCGGGTTCAAGGTCCAACAGGAACCCTGTTTGCCATCAAGCCCATGGATTCAGCTTCCCTGGGTCTTGGAGTAGAAACTAGATTTTAGCGTGGCCTGGGATGGGGAGCAGAGGGGCCCTAACCGGCCCCTACTCACTACCCTACCTTTGGCTCAGCCATTTCCGCACCGTCAGGAGCCCAGGACTCAGGGGCGCATCCCCTGGAGAAGCCCTGAGCTTGGCACTGCCCGCAGGCTCTGAAAGGATGACATCAGGGTCCCGCCTTAGGGAGAGGGAGTCCAGTCTACCTTCCTGTACGGGAGGAAGTGAACAAAGTCGGTCTGGCATTGTCCGAACAGCGCTGCCAGAACCCCCTTCCAGGGCTGAGGAACCAAGCTCATGTACTTTCCACGAAAGAAACAAAACCCACAGAAACCCCTCATGACATGCTAACCTCAGCCTGACCTCAGATCTCATCTGGACTTTTTTTTTTTTTTAAAGATTTTTATTTATTTATTTGACAGAGAGAGAGAGATCACAAGTAGGCAGAGCAGCAGGCAGAGAGAGAGGGGGAGGCAGGCTCCCTGCTAAGCAGAGAGCCCGATGCGGGACTCGATCCCAGGATCCTGAGACCATGACCTGAACCGAAGACAGAGGCTTTAACCCACTGAGCCACCCAGGCACATCTCATCTGGACTTTAACAGCTGACCTTGACCTACTGCATCCTTGACCCTCACATTAGCCCCCGGCCCCAGCTTCCCTCCATATTCACCCAGAAGTCCTAACAGTGCCCCAAATGTTTGTCCCTTCTGCCTCTGCCGGGTGATGAGAGTCCTAGGACCTACAGAGCCCACCATCGCCCAGCTTCTGTTGGGACCCTAGTGGTTGGGGGTTTGCAGGAGGCAGGAAAGACTGGCCCAGCGCTTGACCCCCTCCCGGGCCTCTGAGAGGTGTCCCGTGGGAAGTACGGGGAGCAAGAATCTAGGAATTGATTCTTAAGGCCGGAAGTGACCTCCGTTAGTCTGGGGAGGGGTCAGACCTGTCTCAGGGACCCAGACTGAATGCTTCCTTCAGACCCCATCACTGCAGGTGCCTGCTTCCCCCCCCCCCAGCTTTTGGGAGGGGAGAAACAATCCAGGATTGTCTCTGAGCATGTGCCAGGCAAGTTCGGTGCCGTTGTCCGAGGAGATGGCAGTGCCGCCGGCTGTCCGGGGCCAATGCTAAGGGTGGCGCCCAGCCTGTGCCCAGCCCTGCCGGCAGCGGGAGTGGCGAGTCCGATGGGCAGACGCGGCCCTACTCTGCTCACCACCGTCCTCTTGTTAGGATCCTCCTCGCTCGGAGCCCCACCCAGGCTCTCGGTGCTTCCTTTCCTCCAGGTCTACTGCTTGGCCCCTTTTGACCTCATCAAAGTCCGGCTACAAAACCAGACAGAGCCAAGGGCACGGCCAGGCAGCCCCCCGCCCCGGTACCGGGGACCCGTGCACTGCGCAGTCTCCATCTGCCAAGAGGAGGGGCCCCGGGGCCTCTTCCGGGGAGCCTGGGCCCTTATGCTGAGGGACACCCCGACGCTGGGCATCTATTTTGTCACCTACGAGTGGCTCTGCCGCCAGTCCACGCCAGAAGGACAGAACCCCAGTAAGTGGACTGCGTGAGCGGGAGGGGGACGGAGAGGAGTGGGGGAGGGGAGCTAGCCTTGGCCGCGGAGGAGGGGAGGGACCCCAGGGACTGGGTGGGGGGGTCCCTGCTCCTCGGTCTGACACCCACCTGGGCTTCCTCTGCCCCAGGCTCAGCCTCGGTGTTGGTGGCAGGGGGCTTCGCAGGCATCGTCTCCTGGGCGGTGGCCACCCCCTTGGACGTGATCAAGTCCCGGATGCAGATGGCGGGGCTGAAGCACAGGGTGTACCGGGGGGTGCTGGACTGCATGGCGAGCAGTGTCCGGCAGGAAGGCCTGGGGGTCTTCTTCCGGGGGCTGACGATCAACAGCGCCCGCGCCTTTCCTGTCAACGCCGTCACCTTCCTCAGCTACGAGTACCTCCTGCGCTGGTGGGGCTGAGCGTGGCCACGTAGTGTCCCCAGCTCCCCAGCCAGACCCCCGCCCCACCGCCCAGATGCGAGGTCAGGGGGAGCGCACCTGTTTCCTTCTCCAATTGGAGAGGCCGGGCCTTTCCTCATGGGCAGGCAGGGGCGGAGGGCCGGGCCTCCGGCTCCTGGACTCCGGAACCCAGGGCAGGCTTCAGGCTCCCAGCACCACTTGCCTTGGCTCCCGTGCTCCCCAGGGCTGTGAAACACACTCAGTGGCCCCTGGTGCCCGTGACATTTGGCCCGACCTGTGACTTCACCCCTCAGAGAGCTCTCAGAGCCGGCTCTCCTGGGCGCTAACGATCCCCTGGATTCCAGCACCGCATCCTCACCCATCCCCCACCTGCTCCCCCAAACTGGAGAGCAGCCTTCTCTCCCCTGCTGGTCCAGAATCCTTCAGTGGCTCCCTTGGCCAGTGGGGAAAAGCCCCACCTCCCCCACCTCTTGGGCCCTCTCCTCTCTGGGGCTTGGGTGGCCCTTGATCCCTCCTGGCCAGCAGAGGGCAGCGCGCGCCTTGGCTAAGCCTGCTCCTTGGCCCAGGCAGAGCACTGTCTGCCAGAGTCCTTCCTGACAGGCAAGGAAGTTCCCCCTTGCTCCCCACTGGCTGTGGGGTTTTCATACCACCCCCAACCCCCTCCTTTATTCCCCAACCCTCGCCCTGCCCCCGATCCCTCCCACATCCCACCACATGCCTCTATCACAGGCCCCGGTTTCTGATTCGCTCCTCAACCTGGCCCCATGACACAGGGAGCTCCGTGAGATCAGGGGTCAGACTTCTATTCTGCTCCCCCACTCCGGCCATCGCACCGGCTTCCTTCGTCCTGTCCCCCCGTCTTAGGTTTTGCCTGCCTGGCCCCTCTCGGAGTGGTCCCAGAAGTCAGGGGCCACTCCTCCCCAGGGTGTCTCCCGTCCCACCCTCATTGATGGCACTTGTGTTCTTTACTTGTCTCAGTTGCTAAGTGGCAATGACAAGAAGGTTTGCTTGATTGGCAATAAAGCTGAGCAGAGTTTGTACCCACTAATGTCTCGATCTGGTCTGAGATCCACCTGGGCCCACCTTATGGTGACCTGAATGCCCAGAATTCTTGCCATTTACTGGGGGCTCCCTCTCAAAACCATCACAATAGGGGCACCTGGCCGGCTCTTTCGGTGGAACGTGAGACTGGTGATCTCGAGGTTGTAAGTTCGAGCCCCACACTGAGAGCAGAGATTACTTAAAAAAAAAAAAAAAAAAAACAACAACAAAACCCATCACCATATTATCACAGTTCACAACATTATAATGATCATCACAGTCAGCTCAGAGACAGTGTTTAACTTGTCTGAGGTCACACAGCCAGAATGCCTCACATCCCGCTGGGGCACATCCGAGCCTCCAGCCCCAGAGCCCAGTTACTTGGCTGCTCTGTGCTCCCTGGGGCCGGAGACCATCACCCACCAAAGTTCAAGCTCACCGGGGTTCGGCTTAATGGCATTAGGTCTCCTTTACTGGATCCTGGGTTGCCGATGGCGGGTGGCCCCCCAACTGCCCCCCACCCCACACCCCCTGCCTTTCTCTGCTGTCACAGTGTAGCCTCAGGGCTCGAGGCCCGGGAGCCACCTCCACTTCCTCACCTCCCTCAGAGCTCAGCGGGCCCCATGCTTGGACTTTGGCTTGAGAAATGTGTAATGTGTGCAAACTGCTCGTCTCTTGGCTTCGAGGAGATGCCTCACTCTTGGCCCAAAGTGTTGACCCCCGAAGGCCCCACTGGGGAGGCAGGAGGCACCCCATTGGCCAGGAGCCTGGGTGCAGGGGAGCACAGCCTTTTACACATGTTAAAGTTTAAGAAATGGCGTCTAGGTGCTCCTCCCGGCCGACACATGCTGCCCTTCCGAGCTGAGGGAGTCGTCAGTCCAGCAGACATGAGCTGAACTCCCAGCGTCAGAGGTCTCCCCTCCTGCCCGGACTCAGGGAGCCTGTGCTTCTGGGATGGAAGAACGGGGTCTGTCTCAGCCACTCACTGCCCTTTCTGTGCCTTAGTTTCCCCTGATGTCGGGTCAGTCTGTGAGCCCCAGTGGCTGTCCAGCTCCGCCGCGGGGCCAGGCCTTTGGGGCTGGACGTGGCAGGGGTAGTCCGACAGTTGTTGGGGGCATGGGGCGGGGGGCAGTGGGTGCCTGGGAAATGGGCTTATAATGGGCAGGAAGGGAGCAGGCGGTCAGGGTGGTCCTCTGTAGCTTGTCATGCATCATGTTACCAGTCAGCAAGAGAATAACAGTTTAAAAATCCTTTTTTGATTTGGTTTTAGTTAAATCCTCTTTGGGGGTAGTAATGACGCCTGTAAGACTGTCTCTGTACTGTCCGTTTTCCCTATCTGGTTTTTTCTAGAGGTGTCTCTGGGGGCTGGAGCTCCTCTCCTCTAGCTTCTCACTCACAACCAGAGAGAAGGCAGGCCTCCCATGGGGCTGCTCCTTCCACTGCCAGGACGAGGGTGATGAGGGACAAGGGACAATGGTGTCTAGCCCAGCGGCTAGAACAGAACCGGGATTAGCGAGAAAACAACTCATTCCTCTTTCAGAGGCCCAGGGAAGGGGCACAAGAGTGTTAGAAAGGAGGGTGGAGGGGTGCCTGGGTGGCTCAGTGGGTTAAGCCTCTGCCTTAAGCTCAGGTCATGATCTCAGGGTCCTGGGATCAAGCCCCGCATTGGGCTCTCTGCTTGGCGGGGAGCCTGCTTCCCCCTCTCTCTCTGCGCCTGCCTCTCTGCCTACTTGTGATCTCTCTCTGTTAAATAAAAAAAATCTTTAAAAAAAAAAAAAAGAAAAGAAAGGAGGGTGGAAAGACAAAGATCAGGCAGGAAATGAACAAGGATTTTCTTTCTTTCTTTCTTTCTTTCTTTTTTTAAAAAAAAAAAAACTAGGCTCCACACCCAGCATGGAACCCAGCTTGGGGCTTGAACTCACAACCCTGAGATCAAGACCTGAGTAGAGGGGCACCTGGGTGGCTCATTCAGTTAAGTGTCTCTGCCTTTGGCTCTAGGTCATGATCCCAGGGTCCTGGGATTGAGCACCACATTGACCTCCTGCTTAGCGGGGAGTCTGCTTCCCCCTCTGCTGCTCCCCTTGCTTGTGCTCTCTCTCTGTCTCTCGCTCACTCTCTCTCTTTCTCAAATAAAATAAAGTTAAAAAAAAAAAGAAAGAGCTGAGCTGAGATTGAGAGTCAAACGCTTAACCAATCGAACCACCCAGGCGCCCTATGGCCAAGGGTATTTTTAAAAGCCACGTGTTTTCACATGAGCAGAGTCTCGTGATATTCATGTTTAACTTCCTCAAGGAGGGGTGCCTGGGTGGCTCAGTAGGTTAAAGCCTCTGCCTTTGGCTCGGGTCATGATCCCAGGTCCTGGGATCGAGCCCTCATCGGGCTCTCTGCTCAGCGGGGAGCCTGCTTCCTCCTCTCTCTCTGTCTGCCTCTCTGCCTACTTGTGATCTCTGTCTGTCAAATAAATAAAATATTAAAAAAAAAATAAATTCCTCAAGGAATTACCATGTTGTGAGAGGTCATCATTCTTTTTGAGAGCTCGCTGAGCTCGAAGGAATCCCTAAGAACCAAACAGCAAGCGCACCTGCTTTGAGCTTGGCATTGGGGCTGGTGTCCGAGCCTTGCGTATAAGCAGCCTGTGACTTGGACAAACGTAAATAGCATCTCGTTGGTTTCTGTGATGTCAAATGTGACACTTACCTTTACAGCAGTGATCACGGTAGGAGACATTAGAGGAGGCTAACTGGCATGGACTGCATGCGCACAGGGAGGAATGACACACTGTGGGACGCTTCGTGCTTACTTCACTTCTCCCGCACTTACTCGACAGCTGAGCCATGGGGATGCGGTTTTTGAATGTGCTTCTATGGTGTTTCCAGCCTGACTACTGTCCCGAGCCCTAGGTCCACACTACTGGCTGTCTCTGTTCACGCATTCTTGAGCATCCCAAAGTGCCACGTTCCCCCTCCAGCCTGCTCCTCCTGCAGTGCTCTGTGGCCCAAAAATGTCCTCAGGCCAGAGGTCTCAGAGAAGCTCCCCTCCTCCCACATCGAAGGAGTCCCCAGCTCCTGCCAACCCTGCTCCTAAAGTTTTCTAGGACTCACTCTCTCTTTCTCAGTCCTAAAACCACAGCCCCAGTCCTGTCCTGAAGCTGGACAAATAACTCAACTTTTTCCTACTCTCCTTGTTCCCCTTGATGGCTTTCCATTGCTCTGAGGAATCAGGACAAGCTCCTTCTACAAACTTCAAGGTTCTCAGACATTCATGTTCTCTTGGTTTCTTAAACAACCACGTTCCCTCTCACCACAGGACATTTGCATGTACAGTTCTCACTGGCTGTGCGCCTCCCACTCATCCTTCTGCTATCATCACCACTTCCTTAGGAAAACTCCTCAGTCCCACTGTCTAGGTCAAGTTCCTTTGGCTTATGCCAGTGGTTTAGAATCACCTGGGGGACTTGTTCAAATACAGATTACTGGGTCCCATGCTGGGGTTTCTGAATCAGTGGGTTTGAGGAGACTCCAAGAATTTGTGCTTTCCTAAGTTCCTACTGATGCTGCCAGCATGGGCCACAGTCTGAGAACCACTAGCTTGTGCTCTCATGTAATCCCCATTTTATCTGGAATCACAGGCTTTTGTGTGTATGATTCTTTTATGATTATTGTCCTTCCTCTAAGCTATGAGCTCTGTGAAGCCGAGACCTTGCCTGTTTTTGTTCATCATCAAAATGCTAGCGGACACACAAGAGTTGTTCAATAAAGAGCTTTGAACAAATGAATGAATGAGTAAATGAAAAAAAAAAAAAACAACCAACAAATCCGGTCTTCCCAATATCCCTTCTGGCAGACTGGTGCTCTAGACTTTACCTAGAGCCCTCCTTCTACAAGGCAGCTGGATTCCAGATCTGTTATTACAAACACGATCTTAAAACTGTTGCTAACTTTTCAAGAAGTAAGAGAACTTCCCAAGGGCAAATCGGGATATTGGAACTAGAGCTGCCCTTGGGGCTCACACTAATGCTGAGACCTTGGAGGTAAAGAACTTCCCGGAGCTGAAGACTAGACATTGAGTGACAGAGCGGCGCTGAACCCAAGACTCATAAATTAAACCAAGATTCTGGAAAAGGATACACCTTTAGCGAAAGGGTAAACCAGAAAACCTCCACCCACCAGCAAAGGGAATCTACAAAGAAACCTACCTCTCCCTTGTGGTGGACAGAAATTAAGAGTAAGAGTCCCCTCTGTGAACCAGGAACCACACGCCCACTCACGGTACTTCAGGTCTGAAACAGCTTTCTCCGGAGAAATTAATTTATCGTGGCAGTAGCGCCCTCTCGTGCCTGGTAGGAGTAATTACACATTCTTCTGAAAGTGCACCCTAAATCAGACCTTCAAGTTTTCCAGAGATTAAAAAAAAAAAAAAAAAAACCTAATAAGATATTTTAAAAAATTATTTCCACATCCAGAAATTAAAATACACACAAAGAAAAAAGCTACCATGAGTTGAAGCATCAGTAGAAACAAAAGCAACAGATCTAGTGTCCCCCCCATCCACAGGCTATATACAGGTCACTTCCTAGTTCTCTGGCTGGTTCCTTAGGTACAGGGACTGTGTTTTATTCACCTCTGCCGCCCTCTGAGCAGAGGGTGCTCATCACAGGCTTGTAGGTAAACAGAAACAACGCCTGCACTTTGTCTTGCCCTCACTGTGCGGTGGTGATGTCTGCAGGGCGGGAAGGGACACCGGACCTTGGTAAGAGCTCGGCTCTGTTGGGCACAGCAGGTGTCCTCTTCCTTCCTCTCCTTCCTCTGCAGCTCTCGCCCTGCCCATCAGGTCTCACCGAATGCAGTAGCTTCCTAAGGTCCTTGATTTTCCTGTTTCCACGTGTGCTCCCCTCCACTTCCCATATGAGCTTCACACAGTGACTAGAATCTGATTTTCTAAAACATAACGTGTGTTCCTCCGTTATCCAAATCAGGCTCCCACCAAGACCACCCCTCCAAACTGCTTGTCTCACTTGAGATGACCGTGAACAGTGTGACCCCGAGGCCCCTGTCTTCCTCTCCTCTCCACCCTCCTCCTCTGCTTGACCCCCCACGCCCCCACTCTCTACCATAGGACAGTTGCTTCCCGCCTGTGATGTTTGCACCTGCTGCTCCCTGGGCAGAGAACACTTCCTTACCATTTGCAACTCAGCCCAAAGGCCTTCTCCCTAACTCCCCTCTCCCAGCCCCTCTCGACAACATCATTATTTTATTCTCATCTTGGCACGGATTTCCCTCTAAAATGACCACGTTTATTGGTTTGCTCGTCTCTTCTTTATCTCCCTCTGCCAGAAAGTAAGGGCTTGGAGAGGAGGGATCCTTTCTGTCTTATTCTCTCTGAGCTGGAGGGTCCTGGAACAGCGCCTGACCCACCAGCAAAGAAGTCAGTAAATACTGTTTGAATGAGCCAAGAAAGTCGCTTGCAGGGGCGCCTGGGTGGCTCAGTGGGTTAAGCCGCTGCCTTCGGCTCAGGTCATGATCCCAGGTCCTGGGTTCAAGCCCCACATCGGGCTTTCTGCTCAGCAGGGAGCCTGCTTCCTCCTCTCTCTCTGCCTGCCTCTCTGCCTACTTGTGATTTCTCTCTGTCAAATAAATAAATAAAATCTTAAAAAAAAAAAAAAAAGAAAAAAGAAAGTCGCTTGCAAACAAGCCAAGAATGTTACAGGACAGCAGCGCATGAAAGGAAATGGTTCCTTGTGGCTTTAAAAGAAAAGCTCTGGGAGGAAGGCAGAAATATGGCCGTCAGGCTGAGCTGCTCTAACCTGAATACAGCACCCAGGACAGAGGGCTGGTGTGTCCCCTCCTTGTTACTTTGATCAGGTCTTTAGAGGTCGTATAATTCTGGTTTTAATGTTTAAGGAGATAGGTCAGAACTGGGATGATTTCAGAAAAGGGACAATGGAAGATAGGTAGGAAAACTGGAATCTGTGAGGAAAGCCTACAGGATTTGGGGCTTGGAAGACCAGCAGGCAGGCTCAGCATGGTTTAAAAGTGAGCTGTCCCGGCCGCCTGGGTGGCTCAGTTGGTTAAGTGTCTGACTCTTGATTTGGTCTCAGGTCATGATCCCAGGGTGGCTGCGTAAGGGTCCACACTCAACACAGAGTCTGCTTAAGACTCTTCCTCTCCCTCTGCCCCTCCCCCTGCTTGCGTGGCTGTCGTGGGCACTGAGTCCTGGACCGCAGTGGCCCTAAACCCAAAAGCTACCCCGCACTGACTTGTGATGGCCTACTGCCTTTTAGGCCACAAGGAGATTTTGGCCAGAGCTGGACTCCTCAGCAGCCCGGGTCTGTGCCCATGGCCCATGGCCTTTCCAGGTAAATCCATCCTCTTCAAGTCCTACTTCCTGATCTGGCTCAGGCTGCCCATCTCCCACCTAGACCACTGGGACTCTGTCTGCCAGTGGCTCTCACATCTTTGACCCACTCTCCATATCTCAGTTATTCTAGAACCCCCACGAATGACCTGTCCCCATCCCGACTGAGAAACTTTGGGGTGCCCCCTCACCAGGTCTGGTGAGCTAAACAGCCCTCCTGCTCCCCAGGCCTCCCCATGTGCTCTGGAGGGGCCTCCTGCCTCCGCCCACCACACTGTGCTCCTTCCCTCCCAGTCGGCCTCCGCGCCCGCCACCCCTTGTGTTGGACTGGCCTTACGGGCCAAGCTGCAGCTCAGAGGGCACAACCCCTCCAGGAGTCTCCCCGGGCTCTGCAGGGCCACAGGACGGTGCACGTGCCTGGGTGACAGCCTTTAATCAGGATGCACCTCTGCTGTCACAAGGTCCTGCTCAGCGGGGACACCATTTATGCAGCCTCACCACGCAGGCTTGCTGGAGAGATGCTGTGAAATGGACGGTTGAACACGTGACTCTTCCCAGTTCTGGCTCCTTCTGGTTTCCCTAGACTGTCCCCAGCCTGACCCCTCCTTCCTAACACCACCTGCCAGCCTCGATCTGAGAGCAGAGTCCGAAAGCTGCAGAACTCGGGATCTATCAGCGGGTGAGGATTCCCCATTCCCTGGGAGCCCTTCCTGCTGGACTGCTGGAAGAGAGGGCGTCCCGCTGGTCACCTGCCGGCACAGCCCAGACAGCTGAGGTGCGGCAAGCCTCAGTAGCCAATTGAAAGAATCTTAGTCGATTCTCCCAGGAAATGAACACCCTGACCTCTTTTCTGATTACAAATTTTATTTCCAGAAGCAGAACTGTTTCAAACACAGAGTTCAAGGGATTGGCCTGTTTGTAATGCCCCAATTCCATCTTCCCGAGGCCCAGCCTCCCTAGAGGTTTGGAAACTAGGCGCTAGCTTCACCCCGCTGTGCGCCCCATCTTTCAACCCCTCTTCTCAAGGCTTGGACAACTTTCTCTCAGAGCTTAGACTGGGTCTCCCAGCGTGTCTCCCTTGCACACCTTTCACAAGAGCTCCATTTCCACGGGAAAGAGACCAGCCTCCCGTCTGCCTTCTAGAGAGGGCGTTTCCATGGGAAACAGGAGAGGAGAGGCTCCAGTGAGCCACGAGGGGCCCTTCACAGGCAGCAGAGCCGCTCTACCTCCTCCTCGCAGGCGTAGAATTTTTCAAAGAGCGCAGGGGAGGGGCTGTTGCACTCCAGCCACCTCCGGAGTGTGCCCAGAGCCCGGAGGGCGTCAGCTTTGGTGGGCAGGGGCTGGAAGCCGTCCTCCCCAACTCCCTCCTCGGCCTCGGCACCTGACTCCTCTTTGCACACTCCAGACGAGGGCTCCTCGCCTTCCAGGTCCACAAAGCGGGCAAACTCCTGGAGGCTCATCCCGCTGGGGACCAGAGGCAGCTCGGAGGCTTCGCTGGGGGCCGGGGGCAGCTGGCAGGGAGCCAGCCCTTCCTGGATGAAGCCGCTGACGATGAGCTGCGGGGGCACCTTGGCCCAGGCCGCCGCTGCCAGGTGCAGCGCATCCAGCACCGTGAGGCCTGCCCCGGCCTCTGCCAGCGAGACACCGGCCCTCCTGCTCTGCACGGCGGCCAGCTTGCCCAGCAGCCGGTGCCGGTAATGTGTCTTGAAGGCCCGGACCACGGAGCTGGGCAGGGCCGGCGTGCTGGGGGCGGCCGTGGTGGCGGCCAGGGGCAGGAGCCTCACGTGGCGGAGTCCGGGCAGGCTGGCCAGCTCCTCCAGCACCCGGGCCGCCAGCAGCAGGGTGACCTGTCGCCCCTGCCGGCCCATGTCCCTGTCGAACTGGGCCAGCCACTCGGACCAGGGGATGCCCAGGTCAGGGTGGTAGGAGGCAGGCAGGGCCTCGCTGCTGACTCCGAAGAAGCACCTGGGCGAGGCCTGGAGTCCACTGACCAGCAGCCGCCGCTTCTCCGTGCCCCTGCTGTTGGCGCACAGCAGCACCCGCACGCGCTCACAGGGCCCCCGGCTGCCGGGCACGGCCCGGTACAGCAGAGGCACTTCGGCACAGCCGAAAACGTCCTCTGGGGAGAAGTCTTTAAGGGAAAGAGGAGGCTGGGCCCCGGACGTGGGGTCTGGGGGAGGGGGCTCTGGGGGGAAGGAGGGCGCAAGTACGTGGCGGCCCCCAAAGCCTACGTTGTTCCGGCGCTTCCAGCGGACCAGCCAGCCGATGCTGGGCACAAAATCCTGGCCCATGATGTCAGCCAGTTCCTTGGCTTTGTGGAGCAGCATGGGCCCCGTGACGTCCCAGGCCTTGGCCCGGGCGATGTGGTACCAGCAGAGCAGAGCCTCGTCGATCCCGCTGTACTTGGACTCCCGCTTGCGCTTGCGCTCCCGGTTGGCCGTGCCGCTGCACCAGTCGGCCAGCAGCTTCTCCTTGTTCTTGCAGATGCGTGAGATCTGGGGCTGGGAGACCTGGAAGCGCCGGGCCACCTCTGACTGGGACATCTTGGACTCATCCAGGAGTTCCAGCACCTGGATCTTCTCGGCCAGGGACAGGGCGTGAAGCTTCTTCTTGCTGCTCAGCTCCATGGCTTCTCCGCGGCCCCTGTGGGGGCAAGAAACAGTGAGTGGGGTCCGGAGGGCCGAGGCCAGGAGGACAGGAAAGGAGCACAGGGAGGCAGAGAGAATATACGAGGACAGGGAAAGAGGCTGCTGTGTGGCAGAGACTAGGGAAGACTGGGCCAGCTGGGAGAGCGTGAGAGGGTGCACTGGGCAGGTGTTCAGGGGGCTGGGCGGGGCGGAAGGGAATGGTGAGGCTGAGGGAGCAGTGAGCTGGGCACAGACCCAGAGGAATGCCAGAGCAGAGCTGGGGAGGGGGTTGGCTTACTGGTCAGAGGGAGAAGGGGTCTGGCCTGGGGTTGAGGGGAGAAGGATGAATAAAGCCAAAGGGACAGCTGCAGAGACAACAAAGGAGTGTGGATAGGGGAGGACAGGGGGCCAGGGCTGAGTGGGGCAGGTGTAGGGGATAATCAGGGACGGGGCTGGGTAGTCCCTGGGAGGGGGAGAGGGATGATGGCCTGGGCTGGATTTAAATGAAGATGCTGGGGGCGGGGTGGCGAGTGGATGAGCAGAGTTGAGGTGACAAGTGTACAGACCACAAAGAGCGACAGTTGGGGCAGGAGGAGCGAGGCTAATTTGGTGCTGGGTCCAGAGGAGGTAAGACTGGGCGGGGGTCCGGCCTGGAGAGCGAAGGGAGTGGGAGCACGGGGACGAGATGGCAGGTGCACAGGCGACAAACAGCAAGAGGGGTGAGGAGGCCGCGGGCAGCGAGAGGGATGGGGTGTCCCCAGAGGGGAGGGAGGTGGCCTGGGAGAGGTACTAGGAGCGCGGGCACGAGCGCTTGGGACCAAGGCAGGCCCGGAGCCGGGCTCCGCCACCTGGCCGGCCTCTCCCCACCTCGACGCGGGGTCCGTCGGCGGGGAGTACCCAGGCGCCCGCCCGCCCTCCCAGCCGCCCGGCCTCCCGCTCCGCACCCACCTCAGGCGCTCGTCCCGCGGCTCCCGCCCCTGCCCCGGCTCCGCTCAGCGCCCCTGTCCCGGCGGCGACGGGAGAGCAGGGGAGGGACGGGCGCCACGACCCGGAGGGCCGAGTGGGCCGACGGGCTGCGCAGGTGGCGGGCGGCGGGCAGCGGGCGCGCGCTCAGGAAGGCCCCGTGCGCGCCGCCCGCGCCGGGCTCTCTCCCGGCTGGGAAGACCGGGGTGCAGCCGCTCGGCTCCCACCCGCCGCAGCCCCGCCCATGCCCCATCAGATTGGCCCTCAATGACGTCCCGTCCCGCCCCCAGCTAAGTCTCATTGGGCGTCGCGGAAGAGGCGGGGCCCTCTTGGGGGCGGGGCTTCCAGCGCGAGCGGCAGTGAGGCGGAGCCAAGAGCCCGCGGGAGTCCCGGAGGCATAGCCAGCCGCTGGGGCCTGAGGAGCCTCGGGGCAGCGCGGGGGCCGGCGAGCAGATCTGGCGTCTCAAGGCCTTCTTGCCGCAGCTTTCTCATCTACCAAACAGGGCTAATACCGGTCACGGACTGGTTGTGTGAAAAATGGATGAAAGCTTCAAGCCACACAAAAGCTGTTACCATGGACAGCGCTGGCTCAGGTTGATCGGTCCATCTGGGGATATAACTTGCTTTGCGCCAGTTTGTTGTTTTGTTTGTTTGTTTGAATTTTATTTATTCATTTGACAGACAGAGATCACAAGTAGGCAGAGAGGCAGGCAGAGAGGAAGGGAAGCAGGCTCTCTGCTGAGCAGAGAGCCCCACGCGGGGCTCGATCCGAGAACCCTGAGATCATGACCTGAGCCAAAGGCAGAGGCTTTAACCCACTGAGCCACCCAGGCGCCCCTGTTTTGGTTTTAAAAGTAGGCTCCATGCCCAACGTGGGCTCCCACTCACAACCTCGAGATCAAGAGTTGCATGCTCTAATGACTGAGCCCACCAGGTGCCCCATGGCCAGTTCTGATTTAGGGCAAATAAGGATTAATTTTTATTAGTTTTGATAGTGGTTGGCAAGATTCAAGTTTCTTTTTTTTTAAGAGTGCAGAGCCGACTCCAGGGTCTGCGTAGGGCTGGATCTCACTACCCTGAGATTGTGAGGGTCATCGCCGAAATTAAGAGTCCAACGCTTAACCGATTGAGCCACTCAGGCGCCGAAGATTCAAGATTTTAAACTTAAGGTCTAATACCAGTCCTTTTCTTAGTAATCTTCAGTCCTGCCTGTTCTTAGCAACTGAAGGTACGACCCGTGGTCGCGTGTTCCCATCCTCAACTTCAGCCTGCTTTCCCTCCCCCACTCCCAGCTCTGATGGGAAGCCCGGCCACGGATGAGTCCCCGTCTCTCTGCCTCACAGGCAAACCCCCCCCAACCCAATCTATGCCTGATCCTTTCTCCATCCTTCTATGTCCCATGCCAAACCCCACCTTCTGCAAACCTTTTCCAAATATCTTCTCTTAGGCTGCTACAGCTTTTATCCCCCCCCATTTCTTTTCCTTCTGTTTCTTTTCTAACTCCTACTCAGCCACCAAGGATCATTGCTTTACTCCCTCTGCTTCTGTCCTATTTCCGTGTAAAAGCCTGAGGACAGGGGATGTGCTCTATTACTAACACAATTCCCGGCTCAGAGCACCCAGCTTACTTACTGAACGCAATGGCCTAGGCCACTGGCTTTCCAGTGGGTCAGTGGTTTTCAGTGTGTGTGCTGCCGAAGTGAGCACGGTCAGTGGTTTTCAGACTGTTTCAAAAAGCCCTAAGGATACCTCAGGGGGTTCATAACTGATCGATGGAAATCTTAAAAAGTTTAAGAGCTACAAAACACTTTCAAGTGAGATACAGAAGATTATGGAAGCCGTCAACAACAACAAAATGTTGGCTACAAGGAAAGGCATCATTTTTCATGCACATAAACATTCCCCAAGGAAGGTGGCCGTGCGGGCAGAGTTCACGCTCATGGCGGGTAAAGGAAGGAATGCCAGGCATGCGTAGTCGAGGTGCCTCTATGCTTGTGAACAAAGCTTGCACATGTCCCACTATGATGTTCTTTTCTTCTGTCATTCTTTTGTATTTATGATTCAGCTTCTGAACCCACTTTAAGTATCTAAAATCCCAAGATTAACCTTTAGAAGACTGTCACCACTTGCATATACAAGTCTAGCAGAATTACCTTCAAACAAACCAAAGCATAGACCCAGGATGCTAACGTTGATTTTAACCCAAGTTTTGTATTAATCAAAACAACCTCTCTGTCTTGTCTAGCAATGAATCGTTAGAACATGAACTTACATGAAGAAATTAGAACTAACAGGGGCACCTGTGTGGCTCAGTCTCTTGAGCCTCAGACGCTTGATTTTGGCTCAGGTCATGATCTCAGGGTCATAGATCAAGCCGTGTTGGGCTCTGTGCTGGGTACAGAGTCTGTCTGAGATTCTCTCCCCTTCCCTATCCTCCAACCCCCACTCATGCTCTCTCAACAGATAAAATCTTAAAAACAGGGGCACCTGGGTAGCTCAGTGGGTTGGGCCTCTGCCTTCGGCTCAGGTCACGATCTCAGGGTCCTGGGATCAAGCCCCGAGTCGGGCTCTCTGCTCCGCGGGAAGCCTGCTTCCCCCTCTCTCTCTGCCTGCCTCTCTGCCTACTTGTGATCTCTGTCAAATAAATAAGTAAAATCTTAAAAAAAAAAAATCTTAAAAACAGGAAAAGATATCAGAACAAAGTACTCAATTTTATATCTGCTTTACATACTGGGCTTTAGCAAAATTTTAATTTGGGATTAAAAGCTGTTATTTCAAAACACTTCTAAACCACTGACCTGCGGAAGAGAAGTTTTAGGCTGAAATGACTTTCTCAACCAGGAAAGGGAGTCGAGATAAACCATCCAGCAGGGAGTTCTGTGTAAAAACGTTTATTTGTACTAATGTTTAGAATACAGGAACTAAAGAAAGAAAGACACCTCAACTCCAAAGGGACAGTGAATTAGGGCCTGCCCACAGCTAAGGGGAAGGCCACTCCAGGGGGTTCTGGCACGGACTATCTCCCTCCACTACTTCATGTCAGTGTCACCAGGCAAAAAACTGAGGAATCAGGATGTGAAGACCTTACCAGCTGCTAGCGAGTGTGCAAGGGAAGAGAGGGATGTCTATGTGGCTTTCCTGTGACCCAGGGGCCAGGACACAGAGAGCAGGAGGCAGAGGATCCCAATTCAGTCAAGGGCAGGAGCTGGATGTCCAGGTCCAGGAAGAACAAAAAGGGGATTCTGGAGGTAGGCTTTTTTCATCGAGTTAAAAAACAGGCACATTATCCAACGTCTCCCTGTGGCCCCCAAGCTGCTGGCCTGGCCCCCTGATTCTTCCCCTCTCCCCACAAAACCAAAGGGAATAGGAGGGGAGGCAGAAGACAGGAAATTCCAAGGGCGGGGAATGCTTCGGTCATTGAGACCACCTGTGAGCGAGCCAGGTGCGCACAAGGAAGAATCAGGTGAAGCTGCGACTCCCCCTGGGGTGGGGTGGGGTGGGTCAGGGCAGAGCAGGGAGAGTGACCAAGAGCATCCTGGCTTGGGCGAAGGATCCTGGGTAGCAGGAAGAGAGAGAGCTGCAGAGAGCCGCTCTGGGGGAAGGAGGGAGCGAAGCTAAGCAGCACCAAGGGCCTGGAAAGCTCCTTGCAAGCGCCTCCTCGGCTTGCTCTGTCGCTCACTCCCAGCTGCTCCTGGCAGAGGCCCTGGTCTGGCTCGCCTCCAGGGGAAGGGAAAACCCTGGGGACCAGAGTGGAGGCAGAGCTGAGAGAAAAGTGAGCTGCTCTCCTACTCGTACTCAGAGGACACGGTTTGAACCCTGTGATCGCCAGGGCTGGGGCCCAAGGCAGGCAGAGTGAAAGCACTTCACGGAGAGCAGTGAGAAGCTGGGCCGCAGGTATGCCCTGGGGCAGTGTGCTGCTCCGTTCTCCCTGAGGGCCTAGGGCCAGAGGCGGTCAGAGCTGCCGCCTGAGCTTGCTGCTGCCAAAGGCAGATTGGCACGACCACCCGAGGTTCTCTGGACTTGTGAAAGAGGAGGAG